ATCAGCTGTGACATACTCGTACAGTCCAGGTTGTTCAACGAGCCACACACCGCATCATTCATTTGGAGAGTTCTTATTGGACCATACATTTTGTGGAACATGACTCAGTAAGCTGCAGCTGTTCTCTCAATCCCTCTTTCTCTCTCACTCCTCTCTGTCTCTTCCCTACCTCTATCTCGCTCTGTTCCTCTCTCGGTTCTCTTATCTGCGCTCTCGCTCTCTCTCTCTTTTCAAGCTCACCACTCTCCGCTTTCTCGCTCTCTCTTTCAAGCGCAACCACCCCTTCTCGCTCTCTGTTTCAAGCTCACCACTCTCCGCTTTCTCGCTCTCTCTGTTTTCAAGCTCACCACTCTCCGCTTTCTCGCTCTCTCTGTTTTCAAGCTCACCACTCTCCGCTTTCTCGCTCTCTCTGTTTTCAAGCTCACCACTCTCCGCTTTCTCGCTCTCTCTGTTTTCAAGCTCACCACTCTCCGCTTTCTCGATTCTCTGTCAAGCTCACACTCTCCGTTGGATCTGTTCCGCACTACTATTTTCTCTACTGTTTCTAACTCCTTTCTCATTCTTGTGTTTCCTCACACACTCACCGCTTCATCTCCTCTCTTGTTTTCAAGAATAAACACTGTCCATCCTCATGGTGCTACATCTCCGCTTTGAATCTTCAAAGCCACCACTCAGACTTTCGACTTATTTCAGCTCACCAATCCGCAGTCCGATTCTATTTTACTAAATCCGTTTACCGACTCCTGTTTTCCTCACCATTTTTTATTTTTTTCAAGCTCCATCGGCTTCCGGATTCTGATTTAACTCTGTTTCAAGTTTCATGTTCACTCACAAATACAGTTATGGCTCTCTTTTTCAACTCAACCACTACTTCAGTAATTCTCACTGTATCTCTTACTCGCATACCTGTTGGTTTCTACTTTAATTTCTTATGTATTCTACTCTCTATTATTTGTGCATCTCTCTCACTCACTCACTCACTCACTCTCTTTGTACTCCAGAATGAAACAAATGTCCCACACTCACTGGGGCTGACATCCACTAATTGAAGCTTCAAAGCCAAGTCAGAATTGTCAGACTTAAATTCAGCTTCACTCAAATGCCAGGATCCAGGATTTATTTACTTAAATCCTGTTACGCAAGACTCATGTTCTTTCCATTTTTTATTTATTTCATCCTTCATGGCTTCAGAGAATTCTGAATTTATTGTTTCAAGTTTCAATGTCACATGCACAAGTACAGTGAAATGCCTTTCTTGGAAACTCAAAACCAAACAATGCAATAATCAATAACAAAGTATTACTAGAAAGAAAGTACATGAGAAATACTAATAGGAAATATGAAATACACAATAAAGTAACTAAGTAAGCATACTATATACAGGACATTTTAAAAAGTCAGTTCCAATACCATATTTACAATGTGCAGGGATACTGGAGTGATGGAGGTAGATATGTATAGGGATAAGGGGACTTGGCAACAGGATATAAGATAAACAGAGCAGCAGCAGCTTGTATGTGAGTGGGTGAGTGGGTGTGTAGAGTCAGTATAAATGTATGTCCATATTATGTGTGAGTGAGAAGATTATGGAGTGAGTGTTTGTGTGTATGTTGGAGTGACAGTGTGTGTGAGTGTGCATAGAGACAAATACTGAAAAAAAGGTCAATAAAGATACAAGGTAAACTTGGTCTGTGTTGCTATTTTGTTAGCTATTTATCAGTCATATTGCTTGGGGGTAGAAGCTGTTCGAGAGCCTGTTGGTGTCAGACTTGATGCACCGGTACCTCTTGCCGTGCGGCAGCAGAGAAAATAGTCAATGGCTTGGGTGGTTGGGGTCTTTGACGATTTTCCGGACCTTCTTTTCACACCGCCTTATATTGAGGTCCTGGATGGCAGGGAGCTCGGCCCCAGTGATGTACTGGGCTGTCCGCACAACCCTCTGTAGCGCCATATGATTGAGGGCGGTGCTGTTGCCATATCAAGCAGAGATGCAGCCAGTCAATAAACTCTCAGTGGTACCTTTTGAGGATTTCAGGGCCAAGGCCAAACTTTTTCAACCTTCTGAGGGGGAAGAGGCACTGTTGCGCCTTCTTCACGACTGTGCGTGTGTGTTTGGACCATTTTAAGTCTTTAGTGATTTGGACACAGAGGAACTTGAAGCTGTCTACCAGCTCCACTGCTGCCCTGTCGATGTAGATGGGGGTGTGCTCAACCCCACTGTTTCCTTCAGTCCACAATCAGCTCCTTGGTCTTGCTGACGTTGAGGGAGAGGTTGTTGCTCCGGCACCACACTGCCAGGTCACTGACCTCCTCCCTGTAGGCTGACTCATCGTCGGCGGTGATCAGGCCTACCACCGTTGTGTCGTCAGCGAAGTTGATGATGGTGTTGGAGTGTGTGGCCACGCAGTCGTGGGTGAACAGGAAGTACAGGAGGTGACTAAGCACACACCCCTGTGTTAAGGGTCAGTGTGGCGGATGTGATGTTGCCTACCCTCATCACCTGGGGTCGGCACGTCAGGAAATCCAGGATCCAGTTGCAGAGGGAGGTGTTCAGACCCGGAGTCCTACGTTTGGTGACGAGCTTGAAGGGGACAATGGTGTTGAACGCTGAGCTGTAGTCAATGAACAGCATTCTCACATAGGTATTCCTCTTATCTAGGTGGGTGAGGGCAGTGTGGAGAGCATGGTGGAGTTAATGTGTGCCATAACCAGCCTCTCAAAGCACTTCATGATTACAGAAGTGAGTGCTACAGGGCAGTAATCATTGTGGCATGAAGCCTTAGAGTTCTTAGGAACAGGGATGATTGTGGTCATCTTAAAACACGTGGGGACAGACAGACAAGGAGAGGTTGAAAATGATGTGAATATGCCTGCCAGCTGTTCTGTGCATGCTCTTAAGAAACCGCCCTGGAATCTTCTGGGTCGGTGACGGCCCTCACACCCGGCTCGATGTTGTTTTTGTCAAAGCGTGCATAAAATGCATTGAGTTCGACTGGTAGAGAGGCATCGTTGTGCAGATAACGGCTCCTTTGTAATCCGTAATAGTCTGTATTGTGCATGAGGACTTCTCTTGAACCAAAGCCAGTGCAGTAGAGTAGAGCAGGCAGCATATGCTCCAGCTCCACTGCAGAATGGCAGCAAGCAGATGGTACTATCGAAAGCTAGGTCAATACCAGGCTGTTACAGGGATCATTAGGACATCTTGACCATAAACGGAACAATGGACCTAGATTACCCCTAAAATACAGCATCACATCCAACCTGCTGTCACCATAGAGATGAATAAAGATAGGATCACTATGGCTGTAACTCAGTGCAAGTCATTGAGTAAGTGGGATATAAAAGGGAATGTATGGATGACTGTAACATGGTAATGATGCCTCTCTCCTTGACAATACAACACTATACATTTTGATGAGCCCAACTGCTTACATTAGGCCAATATACCATGTCTAAAACACTTACTTACATGTAGATGATGGTAAACAAATGTGAAAGCAGTGGTTAGAATGACAAGATGGGTGATTGCTTCCCAGTGAAAATGTATTTTCAACCAGAAAACGTATTTTGCTCATAGGGTTGTGTGAATGACTGATGACACAGTACAGCACTCTGCATCTGATTGGTGGTCAAACACCTACTCTTCCTATACTCGGTACAGAGCGTAATACAGTTGGAACTGTATATACAGTGGGGAGAACAATATTTGATACACTGCCGATTTTGCAGGTTTTCCTACTTACAAAGCATGTAGAGGTCTGTAATTTTTATCATAGGTACACTTCAACTGTGAGAGATATTTTCTGATGTATCAAATACTTATGTCATGCAATTAAATGCAAATTAATTACTTAAAAATCATACAATGTGATTTTCTGGATTTTTGTTTTAGATTCTGTCTCTCACAGTTGAAGTGTACCTATGATAAAAATTACAGACCTCTACATGCTTTGTAAGTAGGAAAACCTGCAAAATCGGCAGTGTATCAAATACTTGTTCTCCCCACTGTATGTATATGATGTTCGAAGCAGTCGTTATACTGTTATGTATGATAGGACGGGTAATGGTCTGTGAGGAATAGGGTAGAAGGGTAGCTTTATGACATCACAATTACAGCAGTTAATCTAATCGTCAGTGTAGTAGTCAATGTTACTGACAGAAACGGACAGGTTTTTTAGTGACTGACTTCAACTTAACTTCACCTCAATTAAACTTTATTTTGGTAAATCTGACATGAATTCAGCTTCTCAACTCAACACTAACGGAAAACTACTTTATACAATAATTTTGGGATTTGTTTTGCCATGTAGTCACTGCCAGTTTGGAAACATTTGTTAAGGCTTCTAGAAGTGCAAAGTGATATAAAACACCAAATATTCATTGATATCCTGTAATGTGTAAACACATTACCTAGTAGCCAACCTGCATGCACCTGGAATTACAGTAAAATACTGTGAAATACAAACCCTTCCCCTCAATGAATGTCATTCATTCATCCATTCATTCATTACGTTTTTTGGTACCCTTCCCCAGATCTGTGCCTTGACACAATCCTGTCTCAGAGCTCTACTGACAATTCCTTCGACCTCATGGCTTGGTTTTTGCTCTGACATATACTGTCAACTGTGGGACCTTAAATAGACAGGTGTATGCCATTCCAAATCATGTCCAACCAAGTTGTAGAAACATCTCAAGGATGATGAATGGAAACAGGATGCACCTGAGCTCAATTTCGAGTCTCATAGCAAAGGGTCTGAATACTTATGTAAATAATGTATTTATGTTTTTTATATTTAAGACATTTGCAAACATTTATAAAAACCTATTAAAAAATAAATAAATTACATCCATTTTAGAATTAGGCTGTAACATAATAAAATGTGGAAAAGGTCAAGGGGTCTGAATACTTTCCAAAGGCACTGTACCTACTATTAGCTGCCTGTAAGTGTGTGTCCATGATACACAGCTCACCTGACCACAGCCTTGACTGTGGATCGCACCACGCTGGAGAGCAGGAAGAGAGGAGTGACCAGGATGTGAAACAGGGATAAGGACGCAAAGGCCACAGCAGGGGACAGGTCAGCCTCCTCAGAGATGTGCACATGGACCACAAACGTCTACAGGAAGATGACGACAGGAGAGAAAAATATTAATCTCACTCCAGTAACCAGCAAAGATACTGTGAGTGAAGTCTGAATCCTGACTCAAGATGCAAGTGAGCAACTCAAACGTTTACATAAATCATGCATTAATGTCAATGGGAGATATGCTATAGTCTGAGATGTGCTCGCATCCGATACAGGACCCGGAATTAATAAATATCCTTCAGAAAGACACATTACTGATTAATTTAAATACTTTTGCCTTTCAGTCAGTTTGTGGCAAACTTGAGCATTTCCACTTTGGGGCTAAGCAATGAGAGATATAAAAGTCTCTCTCTCTCTCTCATATATATATACATACAGTTGAAGTCGGAGGTTTACATACACCTTAGCCAAATACATTTAAACTCAGTTTTTCACAATTCCTGACATTTAATCCTAGTAAAAATTCCCTGTTTTAGGTCAGTTAGGATTACCACTTCATTTTAAGAATGTGAAATGTCAGAATAATAGTAGAGAGAATGATTTATTTCACATTCCCAGTGGGTTAGAAGTTTACATACATTCAATTGGTATTTGGTAGCATTGCCTTTAAATTGTTTCACTTGGGTCACACGTTTCGGGTAGCCTTTCACAAGCTTCCCACAATAAGTTGGGTGAATTTTGGCCCATTCCTCCTGACAGAGCTGGTGTAACTGAGTCAGGTTTGTAGGCCTCCTTGCTCACACACACTTTTTCAGTTCTGCCCACACATTTTCTATAGGATTTAGGTCAGGGTTTTGTGACGGCCACTCCAATACCTTGAATTTGTTGTCCTTAAGCCATTTTGCCACAACTTTGGAAGTATGCTTTTGGGTCATTGTCCATTTGGAAGACCCATTTGCAACCAAGCTTTAACTTCCTGACTGATGTCTTGAGATGTTGCTTCAATATATCCACATAATTGTCCTTCCTCATGATGCCATCTATTTTGTGAAGTGCACCAGTCCCTCCTGCAGCAAAGCACCCCCACAGCATGATGCTGCCACCCCCGTGCTTCACGGTTGGGATGGTGTTCTTCGGCTTGCAAGCATCCCCCTTTTTCCTCCAAACATAACGATGGTCATTATGGCCAAACAGTTCTATTTTTGTTTCATCAGACCGGAGGACATTTCTCCAAAAAGTATGATCTTTCTCCCCATGTGCAGTTGCAAACCGTAGTCTGGCTTTTTTATGGAGGTTTTGGAGCAGTGGCTTCTTTCTTGCTGAGAGGCCTTTCAGGTTATGTCGATATAGGACTTGTTTTACTGTGGATATAGATACTTTTTTACCTGTTTCCTCCAGCATCTTCACAAGGTCCTTTGCTGTTGTTCTGGGATTGATTTGCACTTTTTGCACCAAAGTACGTTAATCTCTAGGAGACAGAACGCGTCTCCTTCCTGAGCGGTATGACGGCTGCGTGGTCCCATGGTGTTTATACTTGCGTACTATTGTTTGTACAGATGAACGTGGTACCTTCAGGCATTCGGAAATTGCTCACAAGGATGAACCAGACTTGTGGAGGTCTACAATTTCTTCTTGGCTGATTTCTTCTGATTTTCCCATGATGTCAAGCAAAGAGGCACTGAGTTTGAAGGTAGGCCTTGAAATACATCCACAGGTACACCTCCAATTGACTCAAATTATGTCAATTAGCCTATCAGAAGCTTCTAAAGCCATGACATCATTTTCTGGAATTTTCCAAGCTGTTTAAAGGCACAGTCAACTTAGTGTATGTAAACGTCTGACCCACTGGAATTGTGATACAGTGAATTATAAGTGAAATAATCTGTCTGTAAACAATTGTTGGAAAAATTACTTGCGTCATGCACAAAGTAGATGTCATAACCGACTTGCTAAAACTTAGTTTGTTAACAATAAATGTGTGTGGTTGAAAAACGAATTTTAATGACTCCAACCTAAGTGTATGTAAACTTCCGACTTCAACTGTGTGTATATATATATATATATATATATATATATATATATATATATATATATATATATATATATATATATATATATACTACCAGTCAAAAGTTTGGACACACCTACTCAGTCAAGTGTTTTTCTTAATTTGTACTATTTTCTACATTGTAGAATAATAGTGAAGACATCAAAACTATAAAATAACACATATGGAATCAAGTAGTAACCAAAAAGTGTTAAACAAATCAAAATATATTTTATTTTTGAGATTCTTCAAATAGCCACCCTTTGCCTTGACAGCTTTGCACACTCTTGGCATTCTCTCAACCAGCTTCATGAGGTAGTCACCTGGAATGCATTTTCAATTAACAGGTGTGCCTTATTAAAAGTTCATTTGTGGAATTTCTTTCCTTCTTAATGCGTTTGAGCCAATCAGTTGTGTTGTGACAAGGTATACAGAAGATAGCCCTATTTGGTAAAATACCAAGTCCATATTATGGCAAGAACAGCTCAAATAAGCAAAGAGAAACGACAGTCCATCATTACTTTAAGACATGAAGGTCAGTCAATACGGAAAATCTCAAGAACTTTGAAAGTTTCTTCAACTGCAGTCGCAAAAACCATCAAGGGCTATGATGAAACTGGCTCTCATGAGGACCGCCACAGGAATGGAAGACCCAGAGTTACCTCTGCTGCAGAGGATAAGTTCATTAGAGTTACCAGCCTCAGAAATTGCATCCCAAATAAATGCTTCACAGAGTTCAAGTCACAGACACATCTCAACATCAACTATTCAGAGGGGACTGTGTGAATCAGGCCTTCATGTTCGAATTGCTGCAAAGAAACCACTACTAAAGGACACCAATAAGAAGAAGAGACCTGCTTGGGCCAAGAAACACGAGCAATGGACATTAGAGTCCAAATTTTAGATTTTTGGTTCCAACCGCTGTGTCTTTGTGAGACGCGGTGTGGGTGAACGGATGATCTCCGCATGTGTGGTTCCCACCGTAAAGCATGGAGGAGGAGGTGTTATGGTGTGGGGGTGCTTTGCTGGTGACACTGTCTGTGATTTATTTAGAATTCAAGGCACACTTAACCAGCATGGCTACCACAGCATTCTGCAGTGATACGCCATCCCATCTGGTTTGGGCTTAGTGGAACTATTATTTGTTTTTCAGTAGGACAATGACCCAACACACCTCCAGGCTGTGTAAGGGCTATTTTACCAAGAAGGAGAATGATGGAGTGCTGTATCAGATGACCTGGCCTCCACATTCCAGTTGAAGCTGGTTGAGAGAATGCCAAGAGTGTGCCAAGCTGTCATCAAGGCAAAGGGTGGCTATTTGAAGAATCTCAAATATAAAATATATTTTGATTTCTTTAACACTTTTTTGGTTACTAAATGATTCCATATGTGTTATTTCATAGTTTTGATGTCTTCACTATTATTCTACAATGTAGAAAATAGTAAAAATAAAGAAAAATGAGTAGGTGTGTCCAAACTTTTGACTGGTACTGTATATATAACTGGGATTTACAGTGGCCATGCCACAAACCTCCAGTGTGTCCCTGTGAAATGTCACTGGCCATCCTTTAGAGAGCCGTAACATGTCAGACTGACTGTGATACCACTCTAGCCGGACTGGTCTGGCCTGTGCCATTCACTGGGGAAAAGGGATTGTGTTCTTTGTAAAAGCCCATCCACTGAGAACAATCCACAGACCAGAATGCAGCTTATTTTTAGGGGTGAAATGGTGGTTAGAACATGCTGTTCTATGTCGAACAATGTGAGGGAGGACAGATATTGGGGTAGTCTGTAGACAGTATTATGCATGGCACCTATGAGATATGAATAGCCATTTATGAGTGGAATGAATACTCACGGTCAGGACAGCTGCGATAGGGATGGCTGCATTCATGAATACTGAGAAAGATGAGACACAGACATCATTAGATACATGACAATATGGTTCAGATACTGTACAGACAGTTTGTTCCAGAGCGCGAGAATACTTAACACGCAGTGTCTTTCTCCAGGAACTCAGCTCAACTGAACGGCTTGAAGTGGTTTTTGTCTATGACTAAGCTAGAGCATCAGCACTGAGACAGGCAAGGTTTTTATAGTTTTGTGTTTTTTGCCTCATGCAGCGCGACACATCTCCTTCGCATAGAGTTGATCAGGCTATTGACTGTGGCCCGTGGAATGTTGTCCCACTCCTCTTCAATGGCTGTGTGAAGTTGCTGGATATTGGTGGGGAATGGAACACGCTGTCGTACACGTCGATCCAGAGCATCCCAAACATGCTTAATGGGTGACATGGCTGGTGAGTGTGCAGGCCATGGAAGATAGTGATACACAAGCTAGGCCTATTTGAAACATTGCCATCTCCTGCCAGATTCAGAAGATTGAAAACCCCATTAGAAAAAAGTGAGAAAACCCCATTCGATTTCTGCCCAGATGATAAAAAAGTAAAACTGAACATGTTTTTATTTTATTTTATTGTAGTTTGTTTTGGAGTCAAATATAATAGTTTCAGTATTTAAAACGGGTTTCTTAATTTTATTCTTTTAGTTTACTAAATTGTTTTCATGATTCGTTTCAGTTTACTATAATAACCTTGAGAGGCGCACACACACACACAAACAGGGTCTGACCTACAAACAAACACACACACACACACACACACACACACACACACACACACACACACACACACACACACACACACACACACAGGGTCTGACCTAAAAACAGCTGTCTCTCTGCTCCATGTCTTATCAGATAGTCCTTCCAGGATTTTGCAGAGTTTTTTGTGTTATCTGTGGGCAAAAATGCTTTAAGCAATTCTGACATTTTGCATGGCAAATTGCGCAGATTTCTCTCAAATTTTACACCAAAATTCACTGATGGGGGAAGCATTTGTTGACGTGTCTTGATTGAACCATTTTATGCAGTATAAGTGCAGTGATTGGTTAAAATTGTGAGCCCTCCTTTTGTAGTGTGGTGATCATACAGTTTAATGCGGAAATATTGCAGAAATATGACTGTTTTGTGCGGTGATTGGTCAAAATTGCAAGCCCTCGCATAATATGCAGGTAATTGTTGATTTTGAAAAAATATTTGCGATTGCAGAATCGCAAAATCCTGGAGGAACTAGGCAAGATGACTTACAATGCTAAGAATGCAACATATATTTTATTACATTTAAAAATAACTTACTAGATATGGATGTATAGAGGGAGGTAAGGTAACCTACTAGATATGGATGTGTAGAGGGAGGTAAGGTAACCTACTAGATATGGATGTTATAGAAGGAGTAAGGTAAACCTACTAGATATGGATGTGTAGAGGGAGGTAAGGTAACCTACTAGATATGGATTGTGTAGAGGGAGGTAAGGTAACCTACTAGATATGGATGTGTAGAGGGAGGTAAGGTAACCTACTAGATATGGATGTGTAGAGGGAGGTAAGGTAACCTACTAGATATGGATGTGTAGAGGGAGGTAAGGTAACCTACTAGATATGGATGTGTAGGGGAGGTAAGGTAACCTACTAGATATGGATGTGTAGAGGGAGGTAAGGTAACCTACTAGATATGGATGTGTAGAGGGAGGTAAGGTAACCTACTAGATATGGATGTGTAGAGGGAGGTAAGGTAACCTACTAGATATGGATGTGTAGAGGGAGGTAAGGTAACCTACTAGATATGGATGTGTAGAGGGAGGTAAGGTAACCTACTAGATATGGATGTATAGAGGGAGGTAAGGTAACCTACTAGATATGGATGTGTAGAGGGAGGTAAGGTAACCTACTAGATATGGATGTGTAGAGGGAGGTAAGGTAACCTACTAGATATGGATGTTAGAGGGAGGTAAGGTAACCTACTAGATATGGATGTGTAGAGGGAGGTAAGGTAACCTACTAGATATGGATGTGTAGAGGGAGGTAAGGTAACCTACTAGATATGGATGTGTAGAGGGAGGTAAGGTAACCTACTAGATATGGATGTGTAGAGGGAGGTAAGGTAACCTACTAGATATGGATGTGTAGAGGGAGGTAAGGTAACCTACTAGATATGGATGTATGAGGGGGTAAGGTAACCTACTAGATATGGATGTGTAGAGGGAGGTAAGGTAACCTACTAGATATGGATGTGTAGAGGGAGGTAAGGTAACCTACTAGATATGGATGTGTAGAGGGAGGTAAGGTAACCTACTAGATATGGATGTGTAGAGGGAGGTAAGGTAACCTACTAGATATGGATGTGTAGAGGGAGGTAAGGTAACCTACTAGATATGGATGTGTAGAGGGAGGTAAGGTAACCTACTAGATATGGATGTGTAGAGGGAGGTAAGGTAACCTACTAGATATGGATGTGTAGAGGGAGGTAAGGTAACCTACTAGATATGGATGTGTAGAGGGAGGTAAGGTAACCTACTAGATATGGATGTGTAGAGGGAGGTAAGGTAACCTACTAGATATGGATGTGTAGAGGGAGGTAAGGTAACCTACTAGATATGGATGTGTAGAGGGAGGTAAGGTAACCTACTAGATATGGATGTGTAGAGGGAGGTAAGGTAACCTACTAGATATGGATGTGTAGAGGGAGGTAAGGTAACCTACTAGATATGGATGTGTAGAGGGAGGTAAGGTAACCTACTAGATATGGATGTGTAGAGGGAGGTAAGGTAACCTACTAGATATGGATGTGTAAGGGGTAAGGTAACCTACTAGAAGGATGGTAGGGGGTAAGGTAACCTACTAGATATGGATTGTAGAGGGAGGTAAGGTAACCTACTAGATATGGATGTGTAGAGGGAGGTAAGGTAACCTACTAGATATGGATGTGTAGAGGGAGGTAAGGTAACCTACTAGATATGGATGTTGTAGGGAGGTAAGGTAACCTACTAGATATGGATGTTGTAGAGGGAGGTAAGGTAACCTACTAGATATGGATGGTAGAGGGAGGTAAGGTAACCTACTAGATATGGATGTGTAGAGGGAGGTAAGGTAACCTACTAGATATGGATGTGTAGAGGGAGGTAAGGTAACCTACTAGATATGGATGTGTAGAGGGAGGTAAGGTAACCTACTAGATATGGATGTGTAGAGGGAGGTAAGGTAAACTACTAGATATGGATGTGTAGAGGGAGGTAAGGTAACCTACTAGATATGGATGTGTAGAGGGAGGTAAGGTAACCTACTAGATATGGATGTTAGAGGGAGGTAAGGTAACCTACTAGATATGGATGTGTAGAGGGAGGTAAGGTAACCTACTAGATATGGATGTGTAGAGGGAGGTAAGGTAACCTACTAGATATGGATGTGTAGAGGGAGGTAAGGTAACCTACTAGATATGGATGTGTAGAGGGAGGTAAGGTAACCTACTAGATATGGATGTGTAGAGGGAGGTAAGGTAACCTACTAGATATGATGTAGAGTGTGGGTACACTAATAGGATGGTGAGGAGTAAGGTAACCTACTAGATATGGATGTGTAGAGGGAGGTAAGGTAACCTACTAGATATGGATGTGTAGAGGGAGGTAAGGTAACCTACTAGATATGGATGTGTAGAGGGAGGTAAGGTAACCTACTAGATATGGATGTGTAGAGGGAGGTAAGGTAACCTACTAGATATGGATGTGTAGAGGGAGGTAAGGTAACCTACTAGATATGGATGTGTAGAGGGAGGTAAGGTAACCTACTAGATATGGATGTATAGAGGGCGAAGGCCTCCAGGCTGGTGAGCTCCTTGGCCCTGGTCTCCTCCACACTGTGACAAAAGATATGTTCCCAGGCGTACAGCTTCAGCAGCTTGATGCCCCGCAGCAGCTCATTGGTCTTCTTCAACCGCTCGCTGGAGTACTCCTTTAGGATGATACACACACATCTGAATGACTGGAGTACTCCTTTAGGATGATACACACACATCTGAATGACTGGAGTACTCCTTTAGGATGATACACACACATCTGAATGACTGGAGTACTCCTTTAGGATGATACACACACATCTGAATGACTGGAGTACTCCTTTAGGATGATACACACACATCTGAATGACTGGAGTACTCCTTTAGGATGATACACACACATCTGAATGACTGGAGTACTCCTTTAGGATGATACACACACATCTGAATGACTGGAGTACTCCTTTAGGATGATACACACACATCTGAATGACTGGAGTACTCCTTTAGGATGATACACACACATCTGAATGACTGGAGTACTCCTTTAGGATGATACACACACATCTGAATGACTGGAGTACTCCTTTAGGATGATACACACACATCTGAATGACTGGAGTACTCCTTTAGGATGATACACACACATCTGAATGACTGGAGTACTCCTTTAGGATGATACACACACATCTGAATGACTGGAGTACTCCTTTAGGATGATACACACACATCTGAATGACTGGAGTACTCCTTTAGTATGATACACACACATCTGAATGACTGGAGTACTCCTTTAGGATGATACACACACATCTGAATGACTGGAGTACTCCTTTAGGATGATACACACACATCTGAATGACTGGAGTACTCCTTTAGGATGATACACACACATCTGAATGACTGGAGTACTCCTTTAGGATGATACACACACATCTGAATGACTGGAGTACTCCTTTAGGATGATACACACACATCTGAATGACTGGAGTACTCCTTTAGGATGATACACACACATCTGAATGACTGGAGTACTCCTTTAGGATGATACACACACATCTGAATGACTGGAGTACTCCTTTAGGATGATACACACACATCTGAATGACTGGAGTACTCCTTTAGGATGATACACACAAACATCTGAATGACTGGAGAATTTCTATATCAAAATACACACAAACATCTGCTTCCACATCTGCATTGCTTGCTGTTTTAGGCTGGGTTTCTGTATAAGCACTTTGTGACATCTGCTGATATAAAAAGGACTTTATAAATAAATGTGATTGATTGATTGAATGACTGTGTCACGCCCTGGCTCTGGGGACTCTTGTATGTTGAGCCAGGGTGTTAATTTCTTTGTGTAGTGTCTATGTTTCGTTTCCTATGTTCTGTTCTAGGTTATGTGTTTCTATGTTGGCCGGGGTGGTTCTCAATCAGAGGCAACGAGAATCAGCTGTTGCTTGTTGTCTCTGATTGGGAACCATACTTAGGCAGCCTTTTGTGCACTTGTGATTCGTGGGATCTTGTTCCGTGTAGGTTTGTGTATGACCGAGGACTTCACGTTTCGTTTTGTTGTTTTGTTATTTGTATCGTGTTGCTAAGTACACTATTAAAGAGATGTACGCATATCACGCTGCGCCTTGGTCCACTCATTATGACGATCGTGACAGACTGGAGCGCTCTTGTACAGTATCATAACACAGAAAAACATAGAGTAGTCCTATACCGTAGTACACACAAGAATATCAGAACAGAATAATTGTCATGAAAGATACAGTACTTAATCTCAGACAATTAAGCTAGTGGTATACACACTTATGTATTACAGTAGCATGGTATTATAGAAATGAACAGTGTATTTAGAGAGAGAGGCAGACGAAGCAGGAAGACATGTTACGTGATTAATGAAGAGATTATGGTTGAAAAATACTATTGTTTCTTACCAATCCACTTGGTTATTATCAGTAAGATAACAACGGTTATCCAATATCTGAGGGTGTGTGTGTTTACTATAAAAGGATCACGCACCTTAATTCAGCAGTCTCATGACATCTACTCTCTAATCTCTCCCACCAGGAAGATAAAATCAAAACATACCCAGACTGTTTGCCAAGATGGCAGTGCAGTCGGTCTCCTTGGAACAGTGATAGGTCAGAGCCCACACAGAACACTGTTTGTCTAACTGCTAACTGCTTATTGAAGGGTCCTACTGTAGCTCAGTTGGTAGAGTATGGGGCTTCCAACGCCCGATAGTGTGTTCAATTCCCAGGACCACCGTATGTAAAATGTATGCAGGCATGACCAGAGACGGGCAAAAGATACATCAAAATGTATCTTGTTACACCTACAAGATAGTCTAAAGACCAATGTGTCCAATTTAAATACTTTTGCAGAGTACTACAACTAGATAAAATATTATTATTGGCCTTGTTTTGGGGACGGAGCTCATTAGAATAAATCCCAGCATGCTTTGCAAGTGTTCATTTTTACATTGACATTTTGGTCATTTAGCAGACACTCTTATCACACCATTGTGCAGTCAGACTTCTGATACCAATGCAGGGTGAAAGGGTGCCACAAAATTGTGAACCGCTATTGTGTACAAATTACAGGTCTCAAAAGTATCTCGTTACAAAATACATTTGATTGTAGTTCAGGCCAGGGTAACCCTTTACATTAAGTTTCCCAGTTTACTATGTAATTACACAGTAATAACTGTAGTAACAACATAGTAGTTACACAGGTATTACTATGTAAATGCGTGGTAATAAGATTTTAGCGCTATCAGTTATTACACAATTGGAACAAGGAATGTGTAATTACACATCCACTTGCTTAGCCTGGTTGCCAGTCTCTGCCAAAGAGTGGAACGGTAGAGACTGGTACCCAGAATACCACTTGCTGAGGAATTTTTTTTGGGGGAAATGCTAGCTAGCTTTACCACCCTGTGTTAGTATGTTTTACTAACTAGTTAGTATGTTTTAATAATAATTATTGCTTTAAGTCTGAAATTTAGAATTTAATTTGAATAGTTTGAATATGAATATTTGTAAAATCTATTAAAGAAAAGTCAAACTGAGAAGAACGTTCTCCTGTCTCCTTATTTCTCCTGGTTAGCCTATTGTCTGCAAGGGTTGTTATATTGTAAGTACAAAGTCATTAAAAATGTCACTTCACTTTACATTAAGTTGCTTGCTCCAGGGTAAGTACATTGTAAATACAGTAGATACAGTAGTAGTATATACCTTGTAATAAAATTGTAATTACAGAGTTGGTTGTTAAAGATTGTTATAAAGGGTTATACCTAATGTTCTCCTGTCTCCTAATTTCTCCTGGTTAGCCTATTTTCTGCAAAGGTTATTACATTGTAACTACATCGTAATTACAAAGATTATACCCTCACGTTACATTAAGTTGCTTGCTCCTGGGTAGGTACATGATAATTACAAGTATATCCTATGTAACGCCATTGTTTTTACATTATACTTGATTCAGTATAGCCTTTGAGCCAGGTCATAACATAGAAATAAACACATTGAAAATGACCAGTAGTTAATGACAAGGGTGTGCCTTGTTACAATTGTTGTAACCTGGTCTTAGCCTATTTAACCCTGGTATTGCATGTGGATTCGATGGTAGTGGCACCTTGTAGTTACATGTAACAAGGTCAGATTTTGGATTGTGTTAATAACATCAGTGGCGATTTTAGCATGTAAATCTTGGTGGGGCAAAACAAAAATAATGTGGGATGCATGCCAGCAAAGCCACTACACAACACTAAACAATACATTCAATGCACTATAACGGTGACAAACGGTGCCCACAAACTGTTAGGGCCTACATAAAGCTGTCCCAACAGCAGTCCCAACAGCAGTCCCAACACCTTACCACTGCTACACCTGGCTATCAGCGGAGCCTTGACTGTCTGCAAAACAGTTCATTCAGCCTCATTTACTGCCTTTAAAAAAAACAAAGCTGATATGGCTGACTTGCTTAAACAAATGTGGTTTCTACTGACAATTGAGATGTACAAACTATGGCATAAGGGGACGACAAGTGGATAAGAGGCAATCTGTAATTTCAATTAAGACATTAATGAGCGAGCTAGGACAGACGTAGTCAATATAACTATTTGTTCAGCACTTTTGAAATGTACAGCGACAGAATTCAGAACATGGGCCGTTCTTACAGTATTCTCCCTGTACACAAAGTAAGATAAATAAAGGGGGCATATTACATTGTAGTCATTTAGCAGACGCTCTTATCCAGAGCGACTTACAGGTAGTGAGTGCATACATAAACGCCATGCTCTACCAACTGAGCTACATCCCTGCCGGCCATTCCCTCCCATACCCTGGGCCAATTGTGCGCCGCCCCATGGGTCTCACAGTCGCGGCCGGCTACGACAGAGCCTGGATTCGAACCAGGATCTCTAGTGGCACAGCTAGCACTGCGATGCAGTGCCTTAGACCACTGCGCCACTCGGGAGACTTATAAGCAGACAATGAAAGCTCTTACAATATTCGATGATTACATTTCTCTAAAACAGGTTATAGGCTACATGTGCACCACAAAGTCAGAACAGTAGGCGAAATTAAGAGGGGAAAATAAGCCAAATTATTAGGGTGAGGCACATGGGCTACTAACAGCTTACTACACAACATACACTTAGTATTACTTTCTTAGCTACAGTATACATATCTCCCTGGCATATTACATCATTTATGCAGCAGCATACAATACATTTTTGGACTCACGTTGTTGTGCTGTGCTCACTTGAACAGGAAGGTGGCGCGGAGGTCTTTCGTGGGCAAATTTTGTCATCAAAGTCTGGCATTCTCTGGATTTATGGTGCTTTCAAGACAACTGGGAACTCGGGAAAAAAACAAGGTTGAATCATGATGACGTCAGTGATCTTCAGGTCGTAGATCTAGAAAGAGGCCCGAGTTCCGGATTTACAATTTTGAGTTGTCTGACCGTTCAAAACGTATTCTCCCAGTCGGAGCTCGTTTTTCCCGAGTTCCCAGTTGTCTTGAACTCACTGAAGTCAGATTTCGCAGCTCCGAGTTAAGTTGTTTTGAGCGCGGCTCAAATCATGCTTCATTGACAGCATGGCCAATGTTGAATGTTTATCATTTTAAGCTTGGAAAAGAGACCCTTAATCCCAGACTTGGGACCACACAGCCACTCCACTGAATAGCAGGCTAGTGATTGCTTTGCAATGCTTGCAGTTAGCCACTGATTCCTTCCAAACCACTCATTGTTGAATTTGCGATTTCCAACTTGTTGTGTAATGTTTATGTCCAATGGCCGATGAGCACCGATACGTTTTATCTATAATTTCTCTTCATTATTTCTCTTCATATGACAAGGATTAAAAAGGATTTGCCAGTAGATTGTCGACTTGATTCATGATGATGACTGCTAGCAAAAATTTTGAAAGTATGATGTTGACATGATCAGTCCAATCAAAGCTACTGTAGATATAACGTGATTTGATGTCATTTTATCTGTGGCCAATGACCTTCAGCCTTCATGGATGGGCACTTCTAATGTAACTCCATGGCAGCACCAAAGGGGCTTGAATTTTCTAGCTCTACCCTTAGACTTGGCAGTGACGTAGTGTACCCATGAGTGACAGAACACTGAGTCAATCACGGCACAACTAGAGAACATTACCAACACCTACGCTCTGTATTTTCCGCTGGCTGCTCCACCACCACAGAAAACACCTGCATTTTGGAGCTGCCTTACTCAATAAAGCAAAAAAGAGACCATGTTTGTATGCGGCTTTATTAACATCAGTAGTTACACATGTGGAAAACCTTCAGCAAGTGGATGCGTAAGTAAACATTCCTTGTTCCAATTGTGTAATAACTGATAGCACTACAACCTTATTACCATGTCATTACATAGTATTACCCTCTTAACTATGTTGTTACTACATTTATTACTATGTAGTTACATAGTAATAGATGCAACTTAATATAAAAGGGTTACCCAGGCCAGTGTAACACAAATGACAAAATACTCAAAAATAATTCAAAAGTAATTAAATACGTATTTAAAATACATGTAACAGAAATACTGCCCATCTCTGGCCATGACTGTGAATCGCTTTGGATAAAAGTGTCATCTAAATGGCATTTATTACTCACCAGGGTGCTCTTCTGTGCTTGGGACAGCTTGGTGGCCACAAAGTACTGGACAGGGGCCAGGACAGCGATGACTGTGGCCCCGATCAAGGCACTGATCCCCAGGAGGTAGTAGAGCAGAATCACTCCCACAATGATCTGAAGAATACAATACAGAATGTTGTTTGGGCATTTTAAACCTTGGGAAATGTTAAGATCAGGGAAAATTGGATTGTACGCCTGATTGGACATGCAATTTAGTGGAACATGTGTGAATCGCAGCTTCTCTCTCTATCTCTCTCTCTCACACACACACACACACACACACACAAGCACACACACAAACACAATATGCCATTAACCTGTCTCCCCTTGACCTTGAGAGAGAGAGAGTGTGGTAGGAGAAACTGACCGTGTCCAAAAACCCATACTAGCATACTACATTGAACAAAAATATAAACGCAACATGCAACAATTTCAAAGATTTTACTGAGTTACTGTTCCTATAAGGAAAACAGTCAATTGAAATCAATTCATTAGGCCCAAATCTATGGATTTCACATGACTGGGAATACAGATATGCATCTGTTGGTCACAGATACAAAAAAAAAAAAAGATAGGGGTGTGGATCAGAAAACCAGTCAGTATCTGGTGTGACCACCATTTGACTCATGCAGCGCAACATCTCCTTCGCATAGAGTTGATCAGGCTGTTGATTGTGGCCTGTGGAATGTTGTCCCTCTCCTATTCAATGGCTGTGCGAAGTTGCTGGATATTCGCGGGAAATGGAACACGCTGTCGTACACGTTGATCCAGAGCATCCCAAACATGCTCAATGGGTGACATGTCTGGTGAGTATGCAGACCATGGAAGAACTGGGACATTTTCAGCTTCCAGGAATTGTGTACATATCCATGCGACATGGGGCCGTGCATTATCATGAGGTGATGGCGGCGGATGAATGGCACAACAATGGGCCTCAGGATCTCTTCACGGTATCTCTGTGCATTCAAATTGCCATTGATAAAATGCAATTGTGTTCATTGTCTGTAGCTTATGCCTGCCCATATCATAACCCCACGGCCACAATGGGGCACTCTGTTCACAACATTGACAGCAGCAAACCGCTCACCCACATGACGCCATACACGCTGTCTGCCATCTGCCCAGTACAGTTGATACCGGGATTAATCCATGAAGAGCACACTTCTCCAGTGTGCCAGTGGCCATCGAAGGTGAGCATTTTCCCACTGAAGTTGGTTACGACACCGAACTGCAGTCAGGTCAAGACCTTGGTGAGGATAAAGATCACGCAGATGAGCTTCCATGAGACGGTTTCTGACAGTTAGTGCAGAAATTATTTGGTTGTGCAAACCCACAGTTTCATCAGCTGTCCGGTTGGCTGGTGTAAGACGATCCCGCAGGTGAAGAAGTCAAATGTGGAGGTCCTGGGCTGGTGTGGTTACACGTGGTCTGTGGTTGTGAGGCCGTTTGGACGTACTGCCAAATTCTCTAAAACAACGTTGGAGGTGGCTTATGGTAGAGAAATGAACATTCAATTCTCTGGCAACAGCTCTGGTGGACATTCCTGCAGTCTGCATGCCAATTGCATGTTCCCTCAAAACTTGAGACATCTGTGCATTGCACTGTGAGACAAAACTGCACAGTTTAGAGTGGCCTTTTATTGTCCCCAGCACAAGGTGCACCTGTGTAATGACCATGCTGTTTAACCTCTACGGGATCGGTGTCCCGTATACGGAACGGTTGAGCTAACGTGCGCTAATGTAATTAGCATAACTGCTGTAAGTGACAGCAAACTTTCCAGGACATAGACATGTCTTATATGGGCAGAAAGCTTAAATTCTTGTTAATCTAACTGCACTGTCCAATTTACAGTAGCTATTGCAGTGAAAAAATACCATGCTATTGTTTGAGGAGAGTGCACAACAACAAAAAACGTATCACGGCAACTGGTTTGATACATTCACCTCTGAAGGTAAATAATGTACTTACATTCAGTAATCTTGCTCTGATTTGTCATCCTGAGGGTCCCAGAGATAAAATGTAGCATAGTTTTATTTGATAAAATCAATTTTTATATTCAAATGTAGGAACTGGGTTCTACAGTTTGAACCCCTGCTGTCTCTGGCTCCACACCCACCCCGCCCGGCCATCTAGATGTATGAAAGTTAACTTTCGTAGCTAATGATCCATCATGTATGACATTCCTGGGAGTGTGTAAACTTACATTTTGTATTACCATATCATTTTTGTATGTTCTCTATTGTTATGTAATTGAACATTTATCAATTGACCAATTCGGCACATTTGGGCAGACTTGATACAAAATAGTCCAGTATTGCAATGCTTCACTGGATCAATCTGAAACTTTGCACACACACTGCTAAATTGCGCTTAAACTGCAATATTATATTGTGGCCTTTCTCTTGCATTTCAAAGATGATGGAACAAAAAAATTAATAGAAAATGCATGTTTTTTGTTTGTATTATCTTTTACCAGATCTGATGTGTTATATTCTCCTACCTTAATTTCACATTTCACAAACTTCAAAGTGTTTCCTTTCAAATGGTATCAAGAATATGCATATCCTTGCTTCAGGTCCTGAGCTACAGGCAGTTAGATTTGGTTATGTCTTTTTAGGCAAAAAAATGGGAAAAAAGGGTCAGATCCTTGAGGTTAATCAGCTTCTTGATATGCCACATCTGTCAGGTGGATGGATTATCTTGGCAAAGTAGAAATGCAGAATTACAGGCATGTAAACGAATTTGTGCACAAAATTTGAGCACCGGAGAAGATGGCTGCCGTTTTACAGCCCTCTAACCAAGGGGTGTGTTTTTTTCGCATTATTTGTAATTCAATCATTTAAAAATAAATTGGACGACCTAAGATTAAGGTTATCCTACCAACTGTACATTAAAAACTGTAATATCTTATGTTTCACCGAGTCGTGGCTGAACGACGACATGGATAACATACAGCTGGCGGGATATACACTACATCGGCAGGATAGAACGGCTGACTCCGTTAAGACAAGGGGTGGCGGTCTGTGTATATTTGTAAACAACAGCTGGTGCATAAAATCTAATACTAAGGAAGTCTCGAGGTTTTGCTTGCCTGAGGTAGAGTATCTCATGATAAGCTGTAGACCACACTATTTACCAAGAGAGTTTTTGTAGCTGTCTATTTACCACCACAAACCGATGCTGGCACTAAGATTGCACTCAATGAGCTGTATAAGGCCATAAGTAAACAGGAAAACGCTCATCCAGAGGCAGAGCTCCTAGTGGCCGGGGACTTTAATGCAGGGAAACTTAAATCCGTTCTATCTAATTTCTACCAGCATGTTAAATGTGCAACCAGACGGAAAAAAAACTCTAGACCACCTTTACTCCACACACAGAGACGCGTACAAAGCTCTCCCTCGCCCTCCATTTGGCAAATCTGACCATAACTCGATCCTCCTGATTCCTGCTTATAAGCAAAAACTAAACCAGGAAGCACCAGTGACTCGGATAATAAGGAAGTGGTCAGAGGACGCAGATGCTAAGCTACAGGACTCTTTTGCTAGCACAGATTGGAATATGTTCCGGGATTCTTCCGATAGCATTGAGGAGTACACCACATCAGTCACTGGCTTCATCAATAAGTGCATCGATGACGTCGTTCCCACATTGACCGTACGTACATACCCCAACCAGAAGCCATGGATTAAAGGCAACATCCGCACTGAGCTAAAGGGTAGAGCTGAGCTTTCAAGGAGCGGGACTCTAACCCGGACGCTATAAGAAATCCCGCTATGCCCTCCGACGAACCGGCAAAGCTTCAATACAGGACTAAGATTGAATCACACTACAGTGGCTCCGACGCTCGTCGGATGTGGCAGGGCTTGAAAACTATTTCAGACTACAAAGGGAAGCACAGCCACAAGCTGCCAAGTGACACAAGCCTACCAGACGAGCTAAATCACTTCTATGCTCGCTTCGAGGCAAGCTACACTGAAGCATGCATGAGAGCATCAGCTGTTCCGGATGACTATGTGATCACGCTCTCCGTAGCCGATGTGAGTAAGACTTTTAAGCAGGTCAACATTCACAAGGCCGCAGGGCCAGACGGATTACCAAGACGTGTACCTCCGAGCATGCGCTGACCAACTGGCAAGTGTCTTCACTGACAATATTCAACATGTCGCTGACTGAGTCTGTAATACCAACATGTTTCAAGCAGACCACCATAGTCCCTGTGCCCAAGAACACTAAGATAACCTGCCTAAATGACTACCGACCTGTAGCACTCACGTCTGTAGCGTTAAGTGCTTTGAAAGGCTGGTCATGGCTCACATCAACACCATTATCCCAGAAACCCTAGACCCACTCCAATTTGCATACCACCCCAACAGATCCACAGATGATGCAATCTCTATTGCACTCCAACTGCTCTTTCCCACCTGGACAAGAGGAACACCTACGTGAGAATGCTATTAATTGACTACAGCTCAGCGTTCAACACCATAGTGCCCTCAAAGCTCATCACTAAGCTAAGGACCCTGGGACTAAACACCTCCCTCTGCACCTCAGGGGTGCGTGCTCAGTCCCCTCCTGTACTCACTGTTCACCCATGACTGCTTGATCAGGAACGACTCCAACACCATCATTAAGTTTGCCGACGACACAACAGTGGTATACCTGATCACCGACAACGATGAGACAGCCTATAGGGAGGAGGTCAGAGACCTGGCTGTGTGGTGCCAGGATAACAACCTCTCCCTCAACGTGATCAAGACAAAGGAGATGATTGTGGACTACAGGGGGAAAAAAGAGTACTCAGCACACCCCCATTCTCATCGACGGGGCTGTAGTGGAACAGGTTGAGAGCTTCAAGTTCCTTGGTGTCCACATCACCAACAAACTACCATGGTCCAAACACCAAGACAGTCGTGAAAAGGGCACGACAAAGCCTATTCCCCCTCAGGACACTGAAAAGATTTGTCATGGGTCCTCAGATCCTCAAAAAGTTGTACAGCTACACCATCAAGAGCATCCTGATTGATTGCATCACCGCCTGGTATGGCAACTGCTTGGCCTCCGACCGCAAAGGCACTACAGAGGGAAGTGCGTACGGCCCAGACAAGCTTCCTGCCATCCAGGACCTCTATACCAGGCGGTGTCAGGGGAAGGCCCTAAAAATTGTCAAAGACTCCAGCCACCGTAGTCATAGACTGTTCTCTCTGCTACCGCATGGTAAGCGGTACCGGAGCACCAAGTCTAGATCCAAAAGGATTCTTAACAGCTTCTACCCCCAAACCATAAGACTCCTGAACAGCTAATCATGGCTACCTGGAATATTTGCATTTTTTTTACTTATCTTTTTATTTTTTTACTGCATTGTTGGTTAAGGGCTTATAAGTAAGCATTTCACTGTAAGGTCTACACCTGTTGTATTCGGCGCATGTGGCAAAAAAAATGTGATTTGATTTGATTTTAAATACGCTTTTTGTGCGTATGGACAATTTTTGGGATCTTTTATTTCAGCTCATTAAACATGGGACCAACACTTTAAATGTTGTGTTTATATTTTGGTTCAGTATATTTCAAATGTAATTTTTTTCCACCAACACCTTCCTTCCATTTCCATGTATGGATTTAGAGAAAGGATATGAGAGATCATCACTGCTGTCACGATCGTCAAAAGGATTGGACCAATGCGCAGCGTGGAATGCGAACATACTTTATTATATATTCACCACACGAACAAAAACAACAAAACGATACGTGAAGTCCTTGGTAACAAACACAAACCAACACGGAACAAGATACCACCCCACACAAATGCCAAACGACTACCTAAGTATGGTTCCCAATCAGAGACAACAAGCAACAGCTGATTCACGTTGCCTCTGATTGAGAACCACCCCGGCCAACATAGAAACACATAACATAGACTCTACACACCCTGGCTCAACATAACAGAGTCCCCAGAGCCAGGGCGTGACACTACCCCCCCCAAAGGCGCGGACTGCGACCGCACCAAACATAAACCGAACAGGGGAGGGCCGGGTGGGCATTCCTCCTCGGAGGCGGATCCGGCTCCGGGCTTGACCACCACCCTCTAACAACCCCCCCGTAGCGCCCCTGGTCTGGTCTGGCCCCGCTGGCTGGAGCTGGACTGGACATCGGTGGAGCGGATTGCTTAGGCTCCGGTGTGGTACCTGACCAGGCACCGGTGAAACGGGCACGGGCTGTGCCGGACTGACGACGCGCACCACAGGCTTGGTGCGGGGAGCAGGAATGGGCCGGACCGGGCTGGCGACGCGCACCATTGGCTTGGTGCGGGGAGCAGGAATGGCTGGACCGGGCTGACGACGCGCACCCCTGGCTTGGTGCGGGGAGCAGGAACGGGCCGGACCGGGCTGACGATGCGCACCACAGGCTTGGTGCGGGGAGCAGGAATAGGCCGGGCCGGGCTGGCGACACGCACCATTGGCTTGGTGCGGGGAGCAGGAACAGGCCGGCCCGGGCTGGCGACGCGCACCATAGGCTTGGTGCGGAGGGCAGGAACAGGCCGGGCCGGGCTGGCGACGCGCACCATTGGCTTGGTGCGAGGGGCAGGAACAGGCCGGGCCGGGCTGGCGACGCGCACCATTGGCTTGGTGCGAGGGGCAGGAACAGGCCGGGCCGGGCTGGCGACGCGCACCATTGGCTTGGTGCGGGGAGCAGGAACAGGCTGGGCCGGGCTGGCGACGCGCACCATAGGCTTGGTGCGGGAGCAGGAACAGGCCGGGCCGGGCTGGCGACGCGCACCATTGGCTTGGTGCGAGGGGCAGGAACAGGCCGGGCCGGGCTGGCGACGCGCACCATTGGCTTGGTGCGAGGGGCAGGAACAGGCCGGGCCGGGCTGGCGACGCGCACCATTGGCTTGGTGTGAGGGGCAGGAACAGGCCGGGCTGGGCTGGCGACGCGCACCATTGGCTTGGTGCGGGGAGCAGGGACGGGCCGAACCGGGCTGACTAAGCGCACCACTGGCTTGGTGCGGGGAGCAGGAACGGGCCGGGCCGGGCTGGCGACGCGCACCATAGGCTTGGTGCGAGGGGCAGGAACAGGCCGGACCGGGCTGGCGACGCGCATCACAGGCTTGGTGCGAGGGACAGGAACAGGCCGGACCGCACTGGGAACACACACCACTGGCCTTATACGGGGATCAGGAACGGGCCGGACCGGACTGGCAACACACTTCAGTACCTCTCGCCGTGCCTCTACACTTTCCCTCCCTCTAATCACCAATGGCTCCCGTAACCCAGTGGCCTTTTCTCCTCGTCCACAAACTCGCCCTTTATCTGCCTCCAGCAGCTCCGTCGCCCATGCCATGTGCCCCCCCCTAAAAATGTATTGGGGGTGCCTCTCCCCCGTGGATATGCCCTCCATGGCTCTCGCCAGACTCTCCATCCTCTGCTCCCAAGTCCAACCTCTCTCCTCTTCACGCTGCTTGGCACAGTGTATGGTGGGATCTTCTGTCACGATCGTCAAAAGGATTGGACCAATGCGCAGCGTGGAATGCGAACATACTTTATTATATATTCACCACACGAACAAAAACAACAAAACGATACGTGAAGTCCTTGGTAACAAACACAAACCAACACGGAACAAGATACCACCCCACACAAATGCCAAACGACTACCTAAGTATGGTTCCCAATCAGAGACAACAAGCAACAGCTGATTCACGTTGCCTCTAATTGAGAACCACCCCGGCCAACATAGAAACACATAACATAGACTCTACACACCCTGGCTCAACATAACAGAGTCCCCAGAGACAGGGCGTGACAACTGCTTAACATGAATTATACATGCCATAGAGCATAAACCTGAAGGTCACACTGTTCTGTTGTAATATATAGTATGCAATAAATCTATTTCAAATCCATAGGGGCCTCCTGCTGTGCTTCTTCTTTTCTGCCTGGCTGTCTTTTTTAATTGTTCTACCCTTCTGACTCATATCCTGCGTTTGCCTTTGATACAGTAGATTAGACTAGAATACACTGTAATGGAAAACTGTCATTTACACTGTAATTTTTGATATTATCAACAGTAAAATACTGTGAAACATTTTACTGCAGCATACTGTAAATTCTGGTACATTGTGGGAAGATTGTGGGGGAGGGAAGAATTGCTATATTTCAAATGGTACTGCAAGTCCATCCCACAGAATCAGTACTGTACTGTATTTTTAGAGATGCAAAAAACCACTGTAAAAACATCCTGGCAGCCAATTGCCTGTAAATTACTGTTAAAAAAAAAGTTGTGAAATACAAAACCCAATTCAGTGAAATACAAAACCCAATCCCCTCAATGAATTGAATTCATTCATCCATTAATTCATGAATTCATTCAGATTATGGTAGCATTTTTTTTTTTTACAGTACTATACAGTCAATTCTACAGTATTGTACTGTGTGTCATTACACAGTACTTGCTGTGATACTGTATTTAGATTACAGTAGGTGTACTGCAATATGAAATATAGTAACTTTCTTGCCTATTTACTGCCTGTAAATTACTATCAAATTTACAGCAATCCCTTTACAGTGTACTGTAGACTAGAACCAAACAGAATATACCCAGATAGAATAGAATCAAATAAATCTGTATATAAACTAACCAAGTAGAGTAGAGTAGAACAGAATAGTGTTACCTGGACTGGCATGGCCCACAGGTTGGGACAGAGGAAGAAGAACCACATGAGCTGGTTGGTATCTATGGCTACCAGGTTGCAGATCTGTCCCACAGTCAGTTCTCCCATAGACATGTTGGAGGTGCACAGCCGCATTATCTTATTGTAGATCTTAGTCTGGAAGGAGAAGTTAGTCAGACACATCATAGGGAAACAGATAAATGAATGCTCCTCCCTCCCAAACCTGTTATATAATGTAGTTATCAGAGGACCTCGCCTTACTATAACTCACCTAACCTGTGATGTAGTTTGGCTACTCTCATTCTTAGTCCCCCCCCCCGCTATACATGTATAATAATGACAACATAAGGGACAATGTACAGGTAACTGCCAAAATAAAGGAAACACTTGAGTAAATGAGGGATACAAAGTATATTGAAAACAGGTGCTTCAACAGGGTGTGGGTTGATCGCAGTATAAAATAATAATACCAATTAATCCCTCTGGATAAGGCGTCTGCTAAATGCCAAGTAATGTTTGGTACCATGGCAGTAACGAATAGATTCAGGACTTGAAAAGAGGGATACTCGAATGGAAACAGGTGCTTCCAAACAGGGTGTGTGCTGAGTTCGTCATATCATGTGGGTCATGTAATGTGGTTTTTGCTCATGCAGCAGATAGACCAATTGAAACATGGGAGATCGTGGAGGGGCGTGTGCGGGTGTTTCATATGTGACCAAAACACCAATTATGGGAATTCTCGGCGGGAGAATGGTGTCGCATCCCTCTCGACACTGCCAAGGCGCATTGAAGCTGTTCTGGTGGCTCGTGGTGGCCCAATGCTCTATTAAGACACTTTATGTTGGGGTTTCCTTTACTTAGCCAGTTACCTGTATGTCATTGTATGTATTGACAATGTATGACTGTACTCTCTATGAGCTCTACTGGGCTTCTACCATTGACAGGCATACTGTTCAAAATTGACATATTGATACTGCAGATGCTTTTGTGACACTAATTCCCTGTTTCTAAGTAATAGAGAATGAGAATAAGCATAAGGGGCAGAATGTCTTCACACAAATCTCCATTGACATCAATGTGTGATGTATGCGAAAGTTTGCAGAGATCATTTGTGCGATGTGGTCCCTTCTGTATATAGGCCAACAGTACAGTACCTGTATAGCCCCTCGTAAGTTGATGCCCGTCTCGATGGCCACATAATACGAGGCCTGGAGGAAGGTTCTCTGCAGGATCAGGGCGAAGAACAGCAGCACGGCCAGCACGTATGCATTTGCCAAGAACTCTTGAGAGGAGATAAAGTAGACCCCCAGCAGCTTTATCTGAAATCGAAGCGAGAGACACAGACATTGACCCAGTCAGTCAGCACCCCCAGTCAATATACTACACACATAGACAGGAGCTGCCAGCAGGGAGGGCAACGGATCAAAGAAAACACATCCCAGTATGGCGAGTCTGACTGTGACTGTTATTTCAAAATCTATAAAAGAGAATATGTACATCAAGGGGAAAATGCTTTGATTTTCTATAAGGAAATTCCATTAATTCCTACCCCGTTGAGAAAAATAACTCCCAGACATTCCTTAAGATGATCAATGAACAATCAATCTCCTTAAAGTAATCTGCTGTATCTTTCTTATCTAACTACACACACTAACACTCTTGATCATGTCAACTATTCTTGGCACACTCTCCCTCTTTCTGTCTGTACTATAATGATGATTATTTATTTTATTTTATTTTTTGGTCATTTAGCAAACGCTCTTATCCAGAGCGACTTACATTATTTTTAAAATTTTCATACTGGCCCCCCGTGGGAATCAAACCCACAACCTTGGCGTTGCAAACGCCATGCTCTACCAACTGAGCTACATCCCTGCCGGCCATTCCCTCCCCTACCCTGGACGACGCTGGGCCAATTGTGCGCCGCCCCATGGGTCTCCCGGTCGCGGCCGGCTACAACAGCGCCTGGATTCGAACCAGGATCTCTAGTGGCCTTAGACCACTGCGCCACTCAGGATGGCTGTCTTTAGTCATTCAGTTCTACCAGTGAATCACACCAAGGTTGGGGTCATACTGTATCAAATCCTCTGTCTTAAGGAAGTTCAATCAATGACAGAAGTCATCCTTTAGGTGTTGACCCTAACCTTGGATTATGCTGTCAATGGTCTCAGGTGAGAGAGATATCTTATTTCTCATCTCTCCTATCTCTGAGGAGCCATTAATACTGGGACAGGTAATACATCATTCTAGCTTAGATATAATTTCGCAGGTCTCTCTCTCTCCCCGTCTCTCTCTCTCCCTGTCTCTCTCTCTCTCCCCGTCTCTCTCTCTCTCCCGTCTCTCTCTCTCCCCGTCTCTCTCTCTCTCCCCGTCTCTCTCTCTCTCCCTGTCTCTCCCGCTCTCTCTTTCACACACACATTTTACAGTCTTTTAATGGTATACAGTCGACTCCTGTCCTAAATGTATGTCATATGAATGCAAATAAATACTTTGTTTGAGTACACTGCCCTTCAAGTTCCAGATTTCCATTTCTCTGGACATCTGGGTGCTCCATTGCAGGGCTTCACAACAAGTTATTGACAAGTTCTAAGCCATTGCATTTATAAATAGTTGACTACAAAGCCTTTTCTTGTCAGTCTACAGACTCATGGCATACGTTTTTGCTTGACAGCACTCTTTAATCTCTTCCAGGAGCGACTATTTCAGTCTACCTTCGGACCAAACACACTGTCAAGATAAAGACAGAGCCAGAAAAGAATGCTGTTTGCCTTCTATGAGTGTCTACAGATGACAGGTCCACCCACTGTTCAGCTCCTCTTTTAGATATTCCATTTCGTAACCTCTGACAAAGTCATAAGATACCTTTTTTTTTCGGAAAGGGGCATTTCCCTTTTGCTTTCTATGAGTAGCTACATAACACTTCTACAGTTACTGAGCCAAATCAGCAATATTCCATTACGCAACTCTGTGACTTCCAAACAACTAATGGAGGAGCTATTATTACAGCAGGAGAGGAGATCTGACTGCGGTCAGTAAAGGAGATCTGACAGATGCGTCCATGTCCTGTCTGCTCTGCTCTGAGTGGAATATGAGAGTTTGAGACAGACAGAAAGCAGCACGGTGAGCCCGCCAGTCATTAGCCTCATAAATACTTTATGGGCTTAAATGAGGAATTCACCTTTGAGGATAAGTGTGTCCTCCTTTTGGAGGACCTGACCTTTTAAAAGACGGGCTCAAATGTGTGTGTGTGTGTGTGTGTGTGCATGCACGCACCTACAGTGGGGAGAACAAGTATTTGATACACTGCCGATTTTGCAGGTTTTCCTACTTACAAAGCATGTAGAGGTCTGTAATTTTTTATCATAGGTACACTTCAACTGTGAGAGACGGAATCTAAAACAAAAATCCAGAAAATCACATTGTATGATTTTTAAGTAATTAATTTGCATTTTATTGCATTACATAAGTATTTGATACATCAGAAAAGCAGAACTTAATATTTGGTACAGAAACCTTTGTTTGCAATTACAGAGATCATACGTTTCCTGTAGGTCTTGACCAGGTTTGCACACACTGCAGCAGGGATTTTGGCCCACTCCTCCATACAGACCTTCTCTAGATCCTTCAGGTTTCGGAGCTGTCGCTGGGCAATACGGACTTTCAGCTCCCTCCAAAGATTTTCTATTGGGTTCAGGTCTGGAGACTGGCTAGGCCACTCCAGGACCTTGAGATGCTTCTTACGGAGCCACTCCTTAGTTGCCCTGGCTGTGTGTTTCGGGTCGTTGTCATGCTGGAAGACCCAGCCACGACCCATCTTCAATGCTCTTACTGAGGGAAGGAGGTTGTTGGCCAAGATCTCGCGATACATGGCCCCATCCATCCTCCCCTCAATACGGTGCAGTCGTCCTGTCCCCTTTGCAGAAAAGCATCCGCAAAGAATGATGTTTCCACCTCCATTCTTCACGTTTGGGATGGTGTTCTTGGGGTTGTACTCATCCTTCTTCTTCCTCCAAACACGGCGAGTGGAGTTTAGACCAAAAAGCTATATTTTTGTCTCATCAGACCACATGACCTTCTCCCATTCCACCTCTGGATCATCCAGATGGTCATTGGCAAACTTCAGACGGGCCTGGACATGCGCTGGTTTGAGCAGGGGGACCTTGCGTGTGCTGCAGGATTTTAATCCATGACGGCGTAGTGTGTTACTAATGGTTTTCTTTGAGACTGTGGTCCCAGCTCTCTTCAGGTCATTGACCAGGTCCTGCCGTGTAGTTCTGGGCTGATCCCTCACCTTCCTCATGATCATTGATGCCCCACGAGGTGAGATCTTGCATGGAGCCCCAGACCGAGGGTGATTGACCGTCATCTTGAACTTCTTCCATTTTCTAATAATTGCGCCAACAGTTGTTGCCTTCTCACCAAGCTGCTTGCCTATTGTCCTGTAGCCCATCCCAGCCTTGTGCAGGTCTACAATTGTATCCCTGATGTCCTTACACAGCTATCTGGTCTTGGCCATTGTGGAGAGGTTGGAGTCTGTTTGATTGAGTGTGTGGACAGGTGTCTTTTATACAGGTAACGAGTTCAAACAGGTGCAGTTAATACAGGTAATGAGTGGAGAACAGGAGGGCTTCTTAAAGAAAAACTAACAGGTCTGTGAGAGCCGGAAATCTTACTGGTTGGTAGGTGATCAAATACTTATGTCATGCAATAAAATGCAAAGTAATTACTTAAAAATCATACAATGTGATTTTCTGGATTTTTGTTTTAGATTCCGTCTCTCACAGTTGAAGTGTACCTATGATAAAAATTACAGACCTCTACATGCTTTGTAAGTAGGAAAACCTGCAAAATCGTCAGTGTATCAAATACTTGTTCTCCCCACTGTATGTGTGTCCTTGTCCATCAGTGTACGCAGGGATGGGCAAAAATGACAAAATACAGATACAAAATACCATAAAGATCAATGTATCAAAATAAACTACAAAATATTTGTACATTTGCAAGTAGCCGGCCCAAACAACAACAACATTCTCAGTAACGGTTACAAAAAGGTTTTACTTGCTATGACTGTGATATGTTGTTGTTTAACTACCTTAGTTGAGCAAGTAAAATACCAAATTACAATTGTTAATTTTTACATATACATGTATATTTAGCTCATTTAGCTGTCGTTTTTATCACACCATAGTGCTATGAGACTTCTGATACCAACGCAGGGTGAAAGGGGGGGCCACAAAATCTGAACCGCTATAAAAAAATCGAATAGAAAAGTATTTTGTATTTAGAAAATACAAATTACAGTATTTTGAAAATACTAAATACATTGGTGTAGTTCAGCCCAGTGTAATTGAAATGACAAAACACACAGAAGTAATTAAAATACATATTTAAAATACATGTAACATAAATACCTCCCATCTTTGAGTGTACGTGTGGGCTGTCTTTATCTAACTCCGAAGCTGTGACCAGAGATGGGCAGTATTTCTGTTACATGTATTTTAAATACGTATTTAAATTACTTTTGAGTATTTTGTCATTTTGTATTTCACCAGCCTGAACCACAATCCAATGTATTTTGTAACAAGAACCTTTCAAGACCTGTAATACTTTTCTATAACATTTTTTAGAGGTTCACAATTTTGTGTCCCCCTTTCACCCTGCAGTGGTATCAGCCGTAGCAAATAAAACATGTTTTTGTTACCGTTACTTGCAAATGTATTTTGTATTTAGAAATGTCAATATAATGTGCCTTCGGAAAGTATTCAGACCCCTTGACTTTTTCAACATTTTGTTACGTTACAGCCTTATTCTAAAATTGATTAAATAAATAAAAATCCTCAGGAATCTACGCACAAAACCCCATTATGACAAAGTGAAAACAGTTTCTTAGAAATTTTAGCAAATGTATTAAAAATGATACACTACCGGTCAAAAGTTTTAGAACACTCATTCAAGGGCTTTTCTTTATTTTTACTATTTTCCACATTGTAGAATAATAGTGAAGACATCAAAACTATGAAATAAACACATATGGAAACATGTAGTAACCAAAAAAGTGTTAAACCAATCAAAATATATTTTATATTTGACATTCTTCAAATAGCCACCCTTTGCCTTGATGACAGCTTTGCACACTCTTGGCATTCTCTCAACCAGCTTCACCTGGAATGCTTTTCCAACAGTCTTGAAGGAGTTCCCACATATGCAGAGTACTTGTTGGCTGCTTTTCCTTCACTCTGCTGTCCGACTCATCCCAAACCATCTCAATTTGGTTGAAGTCGGGAGATTGTGGAGGCCAGGTCATCTGATGCAGCACTCCATCACTCTCCTTCTTGGTAAAATAGCCCTTACACAGCCTGGAGGTGTGTTGGATCATTGTCCTGTTGAAAAACAAATGATAGTCCCACTAAGCCCAAACCAGATGGGGTGGTGTATCACTGCAGAATGCTGTGGTAGCCATGCTGGTTAAGGGTGCCTTGAATTCTAAATAAATCCCAGGCAGTGTCACCAGCAAAGCACCCCCACACCATAACACCTCCTCCTCCATGCTTTACGGTTGGAAATACACATGCGGTGATCATCCATTCACCCACACCGCGTCTAACAAAGACACGGCGGTTGGAACCAAAAATCTCTAATTTGGACTCCAGACCAAAGGACAGATTTCCACCGGTCTAATGTCCATTGCTTGTGCTTCTTGGCCCAAGCAAGTCTCTTCTTCTTATTGGTGTCCTTTAGTAGTGGTTTCTTTGCAGCAATTCGACCATGAAGGCCTGATTCACACAGTCTCCTCTGAACAGTTGATGTTGAGATGTGTCTGTTACCTGAACTCTGTGAAGCATTTATTTGGGCACCAATTTCTAAGGCTGGTAACTCTAATGAACTTATCCTCTGCAGCAGAGGTAACTCTGGGTCTTCCATTCCTGTGGCGGTCCTCATGAGAGCCAGTTTCATCATAGAGCTTGATGGGTTTTGCGACTGCACTTGAAGAAACTTTCAAAGTTCTTGAAATGTTCCGTATTGACTGACCTTCTTGTCTTAAAGTAATGATGGACTGTTGTTTCTCTTTGCTTATTTGAGCTGTTCTTGCCATAATATGGACTTGGTCTTTTACCAAATAGTGCTATCTTCTGTATACCCCCCCTACCTTGTCACAACACAACTGATGGGCTCAAACGCGTTAAGAAGGAAAGAAATTCAACAAATTAACTTTTAAGAAGGCACACATGTTAATTGAAATGCTTCTAGGTGACTACCTCATGAAGCTGGTTGAGAAAATGCCAAGAGTGTGCAAAGCTGTCATCAAAGCAAAGGGTGGCTATTTGAAGAATCTCAAATTTAAAATATATTTGTTTAACACTTTTTTGGTTACTACATGATTCCATATGTGTTATTTCATAGTTTTGATGTCTTCACTATTATTCTGCAATGTAGAAAATAGTAAAAATAAAGAAAAACCCTTGAATGAGTAGGTGTTCTAAAACTTTTGACCAGTAGTGTAAACAGAAATACCTTATTTACATATGTATTCAGACCCTTTGTTATAAGACTCGAAATTGAACATCCTGTTTCCATTGATCATCCTTGAGATGTTTCTACAACTTGATTGGAGTCCACCTGTGGTAAATTCAATTGATTGGACATGATTTGGAAAGGTACACACCTGTCTATATAAAGTCCCACAGTTTACAGTGCATGTAAGAGCAAAAACCAAGCATGAGGTCAAAGGGATTGTCCGTAGAGCTCTGAGACAGGATCGTGTCGAGGCACAGATCTGGGGAAGGGTACAAAAAAATTGAAGGTTCCAAGAACACAGTGGCCTCCATTATTCTTAAATGGAAGAAGTTTGGAACCACCAAGACTCTTCCTAGAGCTGGCCGCCTGGCCAAACTGAGCAATCGGGGGAGAAGGGCCTTGGTCAGGGAGGTGACCAAGAACCCAATGGTCACTCTGACAGATCTATAGAGTTCCTCAGTGGAGATGGCAGAAACTTCCAGAAGAACAACCATCTCTGCAGAACTCCACCAATCAGTCCTTTATGGTAGAGTGGCCAGACGGAAGCCACTCCTCAGTAAAAGGCACATGACAGCCCGCTTGGAATTTGCCAAAAGGCACCTAAAGACTCTCAGACTTTGAGAAACAAGATTATCTGGTCTGATGAAACCAAGATTGAACTCTTTGGCCTGAATGCCAAGTGTCACATCTGAAAGAAACCTGGCACCATCCCTACGGTGAAGCATGGTGGTGGTAGCATCATGCTGTGGGGAAGTTTTTCAGTGGCAGGGACTGGGAGACTAATCAGGATCGAGGAAAAGATGAATGGAGCAAAGTACAGAGAGATCCTTGATGAAAACCTGCTCCAGAGCGCTTAGGACCTCAGACTGGGGCAAAGGTTCACCTTCCAACAGGACAACAACCCTAAGCACACAGCCAAGACAACGCAGGAGTGGCTTCGGGTCAAATCTGTGAATGTCCTTGAGTGGCCCAGCCAGAGCCCGGACTTGAACCCCATCGAACATCTCTGGAGAGACCTGAAAATAGCTGTCCAGCAACGCTCCCCATCCAACCTGACAGAGCTTGAGAGGATCTGCAGAGAAGAATGGGAGAAACTCCCCAAATACAGTTGTGCCAAGCTTGTAGCGTCATATCCAAGAAGGCTCGATGTTGTAATCGCTGCCAAAGGTACTTCAACAAAGTACTGAGTAAAGGGTCTGAATACTTATATAAATGTGATAGTTCAGTTTTTTTTTTTTTTATACATTTGCAAAAATTTCTAAAAACCTCTATTTGCTTTGTCATTATGGGGTATTGTGTGTAGATGGATGAGGGAAAAAAACAATTTAATCAATTTTAGAATAAGGCTGTAACGTAACAAAATGTGGAAAAAGTAAAGAGGTACTTTCCGAAGTATGTAAATACAATAATTTGCAAAAGTATTTAGTATTTTAGTTTGATACATTGGTCTTTAGACTGTCTTATATTTGTTACAAGATACATTTTGATGTATCTTTTGCCCATCTCTGGCTGTGACTGAGATGCTCCCTCCTCGTCCTGACCATCAATTTTGTGTCTCCCTTTCACCCTGCATTGGTATCAGAAGTCTGATGGCACTACGGTGTGATAAGAGTGTCTGCTAAATGACCAAAATATGAATGTAAAAATGAACACTTGGTATTATTCTAATGAGCTCCCCCCCGAAACAAGGCCAATAATAATAATACCCATTGTCCTTTGCAATTGTTACATTTAGGTCATTTAGCGGTCACTCTTATTCAGAGTGACTTACAGTCAGTGCATTCAACTAAGGTAAATAAATAACCACATATCACAGTCATAGCAAGTAAAACGTTTCTTCTTTTTTTTTACCATTACTGAGAATGTTGTATTTTGAAATTACAAAATACCTCAATATACCTGTATTTAATGTAAATACAATACTTGCAAAATTATTTCGTATTTTAGTTTGATACGTTGGTTTTTATACTATCTTGTATTTGTTACAAGATACTGTACATTTTGATGGATCTTTTGCACATCTCTGGCTGTGACGAAGATGCTCCCTCCTCCTGACCCTCAATGTTTCCTCAACTACTCCGCTCACTATCTGAAGTGCTTGAACTGAACAACCCTCTGACCTAGCTACAGATTGTAACACCAGATAATGTGATTTAACCACCAAAATTTGACCATTACGCTGGTAGTTACTGGTGTGGCTATACAAAACGTTGGCAGAGATTTTTCAACTAACCTGATATTGGCGATAATATCTTCATCCTCAATTCGTGGAAACAAGTCTCATAAAACGTCTGTGTCCAGTTGCAGGGAGTCTGTTTGAATTTAGAAAATGCTCCATTATTAAAATAAATACTTTTTTGGGTCCATGAAGTAATCCAACAATGTGTACTCCACCATCTTGTCTTTTTCAAGTCTTCTCTCATTGATTGTGACAGGTGACATCATGACATGCAGCACTTTGGGGTGGCACCTGTCTCAATCAATGAGAGAAGATTTGAAAAATACACACATTGTTTGATTACTTCATGGACCAAAACATGTATTTATTTAAAAAACTGAGCATTTTCTAAATTCAAACGGACCCCCTGCAACTGCACACTGACTCCTGTTTCCACGAATCAAAGGTATCGCCAATATCAGGATAGTTGAAAAATCTCTGGTGACATTTTGTATAGCCACACCTGTAACTACCAGTACAATGGTGAAAATTTGGGGGGTTGAATCACATTATCTGGTGTTACAATCTGTAGCTACCTCTGACCAATCCATCTGACTTCTGAACATTCTTGATTAGCTTACACCTTTATTGATTTACTTTGTTTTCTTAAATTTCTCGATGTATACGCAATTTAGCTTTTAGCTGCCATGTATAAAATGTATATTCTCACCGGGGGCTGTATGGTGGGATTCTCTTTGCTGATGTGGTGGACGATGCCAGAGATACAGAGGGGCCCAGCGAAGCCCAGCAGGTCAGCCAGGAAGCGGAAGGTGATGCTGATGATGAGGGGACGTCCAAACGCCTGGCATAGGGCCCTCCAGATCCACTTAGGGTCCTGTGGCATGGAGCCCAGAGGCCTCTGCAAGAGGAAGAACGTCATGATTATTTCAAATAAAAAAGTGAAAAATCCCACAGCAAATCGGCCAGTGTTAACTTGAGTTGATATTTCAGTCTAACATTTCTAGTGTTGATTCAAGTGTTAAATTAACTCTGTAAGTGTTAAATTAACACTCACTGGTGTAAAATAACCCTAGTGTTGGTGTTAATAACCAGTGTTAATCCAAAACCACGCGCATTATTATAATATTTCCCAGCATGCTTTATTGCAGGTTCATTGTTCTAATTGTTTGTTTCAATATCTATGATTTTTTATTAATCTTATGCTACTGAAATATAAATAGCATAGAACATTTTAAACTAATCCAATCAGTTACTTGGACTTATTGCACTCGTTACTGAAATGGTTGTTTCTTGTTTAGATAGTTTAGGTAGTCTTCTTCTACCCAACCAGCAGTCATTCTGAATGCACGTTGTGGGTGAATACACATTCCAAACTCTGGATATCCCCACTCTGGCTTGATTCCAATAGGAATTACACTTCACTTTGCAAGCCATCATAATGTGACTTGCAGGCCTGAAAATGATGAGGTTGAGGCCACTGTATTAGGGTAAAACTAAACCCTCAAAAATAAAGCTGTTGAAGAATTCCATTTATTCATGATGTATTGGGCCTCCTGACTGGCGCAGCGGTCTAAGGCACTGCATTGCAGTGCTAGAGGCGTCACTACAGACCTGGGTTCAATCCCAGGCTGTGTCACAACCAGCAGTGATCGGGAGTCCCAATTGGGTTAGGGGAGGGTTTGGCTCATCACACTCTCTAGCGACTCCTTGTGGTGGGCCAGGCGCCTGCAGGCTGACCTCGGTCGTCAGTTGGCGGTTTCCTCCGACACATGTTTCAGAGGATGCATGACTCGACCTTCGCCTCCCGAGCATGTTGGGGAGTTGCAGCGATAAGACAAGATTGAAAAACGGGGTAAAATAACACCCCAAAAAAATATACACTGGGACTGTATATATATAAAAATGTATCTCACTTGGTGAAGGCAACAGGACAAAGAAAAATGACTGCAACAACCATGTCTCTGTCACTAACAAATCAAATCATGGGTGGTAACTTAATTTCTGATAACAATGAATCAGAAAGGCACCCTGGGAAATATACAAATAAGGCCTTACACTAAGCAGTGTGTTAATTTAATACTGAAAAGTGTGGACCCATATAGACACCAGACCAGTGTTGAATTTAACACTGGAGAATTTGCTGTGCAAGGGTCATGTAAAGTGCCACCTAAGTTCCTATTAAGGAATCTGAATACATTTCTGTTCTATTGCTGCGGTTCTCATGGTCAGTCCTCCCCCCCACACACCATGTTGGTTTCTAAAAGGTCTTACACCAGAAAAACTAGGTCACACATCAAAAGGCTGTTAACATGACATGAAAAAGTAATTGGCCGGAAGAAAAACCTGCATACCCAACGTGATCAGGAGCAGTGCACCAGCCAGACAAAAACCCTACAGAACTAGGACAAGCATGGACCCCCTGCTGGCTCGCTATTTCTGTTGCAGCTTGGGATTCAGTGTTTAATTAGGGAAGAAGGAGAAGAGCGTAGTTCTCGTGCTTCTCATCTCAGTGGTTCCCTAGTAATGATGTCCTCCCAGTTTTGCCGTCTCATGAGTTCAGTCTTAATGACTCCTAGGCTACTGTGACACCACACAATGGGACCTCACAGAAGAGATTAGCTCAGATCCTACAATACACCAGCATTCAGCCATTGCAGGCATTTGTGTGCCATCAAAATGTTTGTCTGATCTCAATATTTGAAACAAAGGTTTAAACCCTCCATGTATACTGTATGAAGGATAAATATTCAGAGGCCAAACATTTTGAATGTGAAACTATTTATTGTAGTTATTCCACTGCCACTGCGTTGTGTGATGTTTACACATTTAGAGTTTATGATGATCATTTTACATTTACGTCATTTAGCAGACGCTCTTATCCAGAGCGACTTACAGTTAGTGAGTGCATTATTTTCATACTGGCCCCCCGTGGGAATCGAACCCATAACCCTGGCGTTGCAAGCGCCATGCTCTACCAACTGAGCTACACAGGGCCCGTGTAGAGAGAGAGAGCATCTGGCTACTCTGGCTAGAGTAGTAAACAAGCCACAAACAGCCTCTCTGTCTGTGTGTGTGTGTGTGTCTGTGTGTGCACATGTGCGTGTGTAAGTGTGTGTGTGTGTCCTGGCTTTCCCACTCCTCTCTAGGGGGTGATGGTCCTGGCTTGGAGGCAGCCTCTGGTCAGGCTTTTTGATGCAGAGAGCACAGGGGCAGATACATAAATAAACAAATAAACAAATTTGGTTCTTCCGACTTTCACTTGGTGTGTGTGTGACTTTCCAGTTTCATGGATACAAATGTACACGTCACGTCCCAAGCCATACATGCGTTCTAGCTCATATAGGATTTGTCACTTTACACACTAACCATCATAAATCAGGCCCTATGGCTATTTTCCATGGGGCCCCATCACACCCAAATCCAAATATGTATTTATGCATATGGTTTCTAGTTAGACAGCAATGAGTATATGTTCTGTTCATACCCTAGTGCTGTACTGTAGTGTAAATACCCATATGCTTGTTTTAACCCTACACTTGTTTCAACCCACCCCAGAGCGACTGCATTCATCTTAAGATAGCTAGGTGAGACAACAACACATCACAATCATATCAAGTACAAAGTATTTATGAACAAAGTCAGTCCTAGTGGGAAAAGAGAAGTGCATTTGGGGGGGGGGGGGGGGGGGGGGGGGGGGTCGGAGGCGTCGTGAGAGTTATTTAACATACTCTTCAAAGAGGTAGGGTTTCAGACGTTTTCGGAAGACGGGCCTGGACTCCGCTGTCCCTGACTTTAGGGGGAAGCCTGTTCCACCATTGGGGTGCCAGGACAGAGAAGAGCTTGGACTGGGCTGAGCAGGAGCTTCCCTCCCGTAGGGGTGGGAGGGCCAAGAGAACAGAGGCGGCGGAACAGAGTGCTCAGGTTGAGATGTAGGGTTTGAGCAAAGCCTGAAGGTAAGGAGGTGCAAAGTAGCAGGGGTGACATGGGAGAACTTAGGAAGGTTGAACATCAGGTGGGCTGCGGCATTCTGGATAAATTGCAGGGGTATGATGGCACAAGCGGGGAGCCCAGCCAACAGAGAGTTGCAGTAGTCTAGACGGTTACAAGTGCCTGGATTAGGACCTGTGCCGCTTCCTGTGTGAGGAAAGGTCGTACTCTACGGATGTTGTAGAGCATGAACCTGCACGAGGGAGTCACTGATGTTTGCAGAGAACGACAGGGTGTTGTCCAGGGTCACACCAAGGTTTTTTGAACTCTGGGAGATGGACAATGTGGAGTTGTCAAGCATGATGGAGAGGTCTTGAAGCGGGCAGGCCTTTCCCTGGAGGAAGAGCAGCTCCGTTTAGTCGAGGTTGAGGTTGAGCTTGAGGTGGTGGGTCGACATCCAAGTGGAGATATCTGCCAGGCATGCAGAGATGCGTGTCGCCACCTGGGTGTCAGAAGGGGGTAAGAAGAAGAGTAGTTGAGTGTCATCCGCATAGCAATGATTGGAGAGACCATGTGAGGATATGACAGAGCCGAGCGACTTCGTGTAAAGAGAAAAGAGGAGAGTGCCTAGAACTGAGCCCTGGGGGACACCAGTAGTGAGAGTACATGGTGCAGACACAGATCCTCTCCACGCCACCTGGTGGGAGCGACTTGCCAGGTAGGATGCAATACAGGAGTGTGCAGAGCCTGAGACGCCCAACCCTGAAAGGGTGGAGAGGAGGATCTGATGGTTCACGGTGTCAAATGCAGCAGATATGTCTAGGAGGATGAGAACAAAGGGATGAGAGTCAGCTTTGGCAGAGCGGAGAGCCTCTGTGACCCAGAGGAGAGCGGTCTCAGTTGAGTGAGTCACCTTGAAGCCTGACTGGTTAGGATCAAGAAGATGGTTCTGAGAGAGATAACGAGAGTTGGTCAGACGGTGTTCTCTCTCAGTGAGACACAACAACACGTGGCAGGGGACAGAGGTCAAGGATCAAAAGTTACATCGGGGGTCAGGGTTTTCCAGTGCACACTGGACTCTGAGGTCAATGAGACAGTCTCGGCTGCTTGTGCGTCCGCAGCCACACTTCCTTCCGGGAGGAGAGAAGGATGAGAGAGATGGAGGGATGAAGTAGATAGATGAAGGAGGGGAAAAGAGGACTAAAAAACTAAGAGGGGAAAGGTCATTCTCATTCTACTGTGAACACTGCGACTTTTTGACCCCTCGCAGGGTGAAAGAACTAGACTTTTCATGGGAAGCAAGTGGGAGGTGTGTGTGTGTGTGTGGCGACGGGGTTTGTCCCTCTGCTACTCTGTGTGATGATTAAAGTCTCAAGTTTCACAGAGTCCGTTCGTTTTAAATCAACAAAGCAACGTATAAGCAAAATAACATTATTTAGCCTGCAGAGTTACCAGATATGGCTTGACAAGTTACATGATCTTATTTCCTGTGAAACTGGACAGTCACACACAGTAAGGGAACCGGAATGTTGGATGTGTGTGTGTGTGTGTGTGTGAGAGAGTGGGGATTAATCAGTTCAGTGTTAACTATAGAGGAAAATCATCTATTTGAAATCCATCTCAGTTTTACGGATGCATGCAGTCAAATCACCACAGGCCATTGGAGAAAAAATTAAATCGATGCTTTTTAATTATTCCTATTCCCATTTTCTTTACATAATCCAACTAGGCAAGCTGCATTGACGCAAGCTAAAAAAAAGCAATACAAACAGAATATGTCATGCTTCAAAAGAAACATCAAAATCAACCAAAACATACTGTGCAAACTGTTCTTATATAAACACTTCATACTGTCTTAATTTGTCGCTGTGTGGAACATCCAAGCTAATCCCCTGCACTGTAAAAAAATAAAGAATCCTGTAATATTGTAATATATACTGTAATATTTGGTACCGTTGTTTTACGGTAACTAACAAGTAACTGGCTGTCAGTAAGTTACTGTAAAATCAGAGCAATGACAAACATTACATTACTGTTACATTTACTGTATAATACTATAAATAAGTAAATGCTACTGTAATTGTAATTAATTAAATTAATTGAAGGGAAGTGGGGTTTGCATTTTACAGTATTTTACTGTAATTACATGGGATTGGTGCAAGCAGATTGGCTGCTAGGTAATGTGTTTTCATATTACAGCATATCAAATATACAGTACCAGTCAAAAGTTTGGACACACCTACTCATTCAATGTTTTTCTTTATTTTCCCTATTTTCTACATTGTAGAATAATATTGAAGACATCAAAACTATAAAATAACACATATGGAATCATGTAGTAACCAAAAAAAGTCTTAAACAAATGAAAATATATTTTAGATTTTAGATTCTTCAAAGTAGCCACGCTTTGCCTTGATGACAGCTTTGCACACTCTTGGCATTCTTGCAACCAGCTTAATAAGGTAGTCACCTGGAATGCATTTCAATTAACAGGTGTGCTTCTTAAAAGTTAATTTGTGGAATTTCTATCCTTGTTAATGTGTTTGAGCCAATCAGTTGTGTTGTGGCAAGGTGGGGGTTGGGGTATACAGAAGATAGCACTATTTGGTAAGATACCAAGTCCATATTATGGCAAGAACTGCTCAAATAAGCAAAGAGAAACGTCAGTCAATCTGGAAATTTTCAAGAACTTTGAACGTTTCTTCAAGTGCAGTCGCAAAAACCATCAAGCGCTATGATGAAACTGGCTCTCATGAGGACCGCCACAGGAAAGGAAGACCCAGAGTTACCTCTGCTGCAGAGGATAAGTTCATTAGAGTTAACTGCACCTCAGATTGCAGCCCAAATAAATGCTTCACAGAGTTCAAGTAACAGACACATCTCAACATCAACTGTTCAGAGGAGACTGTGTGAATCAGGCCTTCATGGTCGAATTGCTGCAAAGAAACCACTACTAAAGGACACCAATAATAAGAAGAGACTTGCTTGGGCCAAGAAACACGAGCAATGGACATTAGACCGGTGGAAATCTGTCCTTTGGTCTCACGCATCCCATTGACAGATCTATGGTACCATTTATGTTTACGTCGTCTGTCTACTTGAGCCAGAAATAACAATACCATGCAGCCACTAATGGTCAAAAGGTTTTTGCCGCTCCAAAAATACCGTAGAAAACTGTATTCTTACAAAACTATTCAAAATACAACACTTTTTTTTTTACCTCTATTTTATTATTATTTACTTTATTTTTTATTATAACTTCTTTACAGTAATGTACTATTAAATCAAAGTTTCTTTGGAATTTACGGTATCATTTACCAGCTACGCCTAAAATCATCCACACTGGAAAACATTACCTGTTGTTTTTACGGTAACTTACAGGCAGCCAGTAAGTTACTGTAAACGGTATCCAATACTGTTACTGTAATCTTTTTTTACCATTGTTTTTAAGGTAACTTACAGCCCACTTGCTGCCGTCTCCCTCTTTCTCTCTCTCTCTCTCGCTCTCTCTTTCTCTCACATGCTCGGTATTACTACCTTTACCCTCTGACTCTCGAAAGCCTTGCGGAGCTTCAGATAGTTGGTGAGGGCTCGCATGGCGATGGGCAGTTTGCCGATGACCTTGAGGTCGATGGGGCGGCGGTGGGCTGCCGTGATGAAGGTGTTCATCCACCAGTAAGTGGCCTTGGACAGCAGGTTGACAAAGGGCTGCAGGAACCTCACCCCCAGGTCCTGCAGGTCCTCTGGGGGTTTCACCTCCGTAGCCTCAGTGAAACACAGGTAGCGCTGTGGGGAGAGACAGCGGGAGAGAGGAGTTATTAAGTGGGAAGAGCGAGCGAAAGACAGATGGAGGAAAGTATGGTGAGAAAAAATGCACTAAAAGAGAGAGACACAATCATTCATATATTCAGAACTTTGAACACAAATGTGAACAACGGAAAGACCTACGCAACTATTCACTAACGTATATCCAGTTTCGGCAACACAAACCCTGCCAAGTTTTTGAGAGATAATGATTATCTTGTTGGCCTGTGAGCAACTGGATATGACGGATGGTGTCTGATAAATATGGGTGATGTAGAGTATCTGACAGGGAAGCTTGCTCTGTTGTGTATTCAATTATGGGTTGCCTGGTCACTTCTTGGCAAATGCATCAATGCATTGGCAAAGCCTCCCTGTATCATACACTGAAATAAGAAACCCTGAATTGTGTTCACTTGAGCTATTCAACTTTAGAGCTTTGTTGAAGAGAAGTATTATGGCCTGCACTAGGTCTAACAACGAGGCACACTTCTGGTGCCCTGAGCACTGAAACGGGACGACAATTAGAGTGAAACCCTAATGTAACAGAGTCAGTTCAGTTCAGCAGTGAGAGTCTCAGCTTGGGGGAAACTAGGTTACTGAAGAATTACAGCATAGACACATAACCTCCAAACACTTACAGAGAATAGGCCCACCAGGTAAAACAGAAACTTAAAAAATAAAGTGTTTCTTAAAATATTTCTTAAAGTTGGAATCCATAGCGGTGAAAACTGCCAGGTCCATTTGTGATATTACAACAACAGAGACGTTACCCCCCGGACATCACTGCACATCATTGCACGCGCGATAGAACACCAGAGTTTCTTCAAACTGCATTGTTGGTTAAGGGCTTTTAAGTAAGCATTTCACTGTAAGGTCTACACTGGTTGTATTCGGCGCATGTGACAAATACAATTTGATTTGATTTGATTTGAGTATGTACTACAATAGTTTTTTACCACGAAGCTGGAGCTCCTCTTCTCCATTTAATAAACAAAACAAAAAGAATAACAAATACGCCTGGAGCGGCTAGTGGCACTGTTTCCTCTAATGCGGATCTCAGCTTTAAACGTAAAGTTACTTTTTTTATTTTCTAAACTCACATCTAAATGTCTAACCAAAACCTTTTCAATAGACAGGACATGGCAATCATTACTGCATCTTGTCAGTACATCTGAGGGTATAGTTTCACACTGTTTAATTTATATCTGCAGAAATAATTACCACTTTCTAAAGGGTATCACTAGCTAGGTTTCCATTCAATTGGCGACAGATTTTCATGCGAATATTCTAAAATCGGCATAAATAAAATATGCGCATTTCAGACATGGAATGCAACGCAATGTGCTTTACAGGAAAAAACAAATAAAAAACAATGAAAATAAAAGCTGAAATAGTTCCTACAGACTACTAGACTACTTCCAACCCTGTAACACAAAAACATACTATCTGCACCAACAACAAAGACCTCTTCCAGTATGGTAAAAAGGGCTTTTTTGTCTTCTCACAGTTACCAAGTTAGGCAAGCTTGCATATACTATATATACAAAAGTATGTGGACATCCCTTCAAATTAGTGGAGTCGGCTATTTCAGCCACACCTGTTGCTGACAGGTGTATAAAATCGAGCACACAGCCATGCAATCTCCATAGACAAACACTGGCAGTAGAATGGCCTTACTGAAGAGCTCAGTGACTTTCAACGTGGCACCGTCATAGGATGCCATCTTTCAAACAAGTCAGTTCGTCAAATGTCTGCCCTGCTAGAGCTGCCTCGGTCAACTGTAAGTGCTGGTATTGTGAAGTGGAAACATCTAGGAGCAACAAGGGCTCAGCCGCGAAGTGGTAGGCCACACAAGCTCACAGAACGGGAACGCTGAGTGCTGAAGCACGTAGCATGTAAAAATTGTCTGTCCTCGGTTGCAACACTCACTACTGAGTTCGAAACTGCCTCTGGAAGCAACGTCGGCACAATAACTGTTCGTCGGGAGCTTCATGAAATGGGTTTCCATGGCCGAGCAGCCGCACACAAGCCTAAGATCACCATGTGCAATGCCAAACGTCGGCTGGAGTGATATAAAGATCACCGCCATTGGACTCTGGAGCAGTGGAAACGCATTCTCTGGAGTGATTGAATCACGCTTCACCATCTGGCAGTCCGACGGATGAATCTGGGTTTGGCGGATGCCAGGACAGCGCTACCTGTCCCAATGTATAATGCCAACTGTAAAGTTTGGTGGAGGAGGATTCATGGTTCGCGCTAGGCCCCTTAGTTCCAGTGAAGGGAAATGACATTCTAGACAATTCTGTGCTTCCAACTTTGTAGCAACAGTTTGGGGAAGGCCCTTTCCTGTTTCAGCATGACAATGTCCCGTGCACAAAGCGAGGTCCATACATTAATGGTTTGTCTAGATCGGTGTGGAAGAACTTGACTGGCCTGCACAGAGCCCCTGACCTCAACCCCATCAAACACCTTTGGGATGAATTGGAACTCTGACTGCAAGCCAGGCCTAATCGCCCAACATCAGTGCCCGACCTTACTAATGCTCTTGTGGCTGAATGGAAGCAAGTGACCACAGCAATGTTCCAACATCTAGTGGAAAGCCTTCCCAGAAAAGTGGGGACCAACTCCATATTAATGTCCATGATTTTGGAATGAGATGTTCGACGACTGGGTGTCCACATACTTTTGGTCATGTAGTGTATATGTATAGACTTATTCAGTGTAAATTGGGACTCAGAGGACTCTTACCCAACAGATGTGTCTTTCCTGACTGCAGATGTTGCCAATGCAACATACACACTCTCACTTTACAGAGTCCTTTATCAAAACAGGAATGTGTGTAAAGACTACTCTGTGTTTGTTGGCTCTGGTAGAAGCCCAAGGCATTATGAAGGCATTGGAAAAATTGCCCATTAGTGATCATCAATAGAAACTGTAATTAGAATAAGTGCTGAGATTAGTCCCAATCTTAATCAATACAAACCAATGAAGAATGCCAATGATTGTCAAGTGCCAAGAGCCTGATTGCTCTCAGACACGAGATGGGATGTTAAAGAGAACAAATAGACCAGGTGGGATAGTGCCAGGAGAAGAGGTGATTGTTGTGAATGGGAAGATCCTGACTGACGCCTCAAAACATGAACATGAATTGACCTGCATGCACACACATTTGCATGAATACCATTCTCACATCAAGAATATGTCGTTGTCATCCAACACAAACAAAAAGCTTGAAAGCCTGATCACCATAATAGCAAGACATCCTCATTCTTTCAGGAGAAAATCTCCAGACAGAACCCCCACTGGTTAAAATGATGCCTCATTCAAACATCCACGCAAACAAGTCCATCATAAACATCCTATTATAGTTAGAGATAAGTAGCGGGTGATTGTATGCGGTTGCGTCATGCACCCATTATTTTAGAGGGGGCACAAGGTTGAAGAATTTAGCATTTTTCAAATACCTGAAACAGCTTTTTCCTGCAATCTACAGCCATAATCTAATTATATGTCAAAAATATGTATATCTCAGCATATAACTGTTTACCTGTTCAATTGTCATTTTAATAATGATGCACATTGATTCTTTAAGAACATTTATGTCTTAGGAGCTTAGTACAACTGCCACACTGGTATATATAACTCAAGAATTAAAAAAACGTGTGTCTTTTCTAAAGTCTAGCAACCTTGCCAGCAGGCATGCCAGCTAAAATAGTTAGACAAGCTAGCTACTCTAACTTGTTTGACAGACTGAAATGGCTTCTTGGTAGCTAGTTATGAGGTTGGGAGATTGGGAACCTATTTAGCTGGCTAGCTAAAGCCAACATCATTTTTTCTTTTTTTTTTTGTCATTTAGCAGACTTACAGTTAGTGAGTGCATGCATTATTTTTTTATTTTTCATACTGGCCCCCCATGGTAATCGAACCCACAACCTTGGCGTTGCAAACGCCATGCTCTACCAACTGAGCTACATCCCTGCCGAGCTACATCCCCCCTGAACTACATCCCTGTAAGTTGGTTTGTATTACAGAGATTTTTTGGGGTTGTTGTTGTATTTATTCATCAAGAAGGAATCAATAAGCTACATAGCTTGACCAAATTCATTTCCAAACATACATACCGCTGACAGATTTTTTGTATAAATAATTATGATAAAACAAAGAATAGTAATTCATTGAACATCTGAAAAACAGGACAAATCTGAGGTGGCACGTCTCCTTGTGCCCCCTTTGGGCATGACACCTCTGATTGTATGACTCACAACAACCCAGCACATTCTGTCTTCTATCTACTGTATAAACAGACCTGTAGGCAGCAATACTTAACATCCAATATACAGGAGCATACAAAATGCTAAACTGAAAGAGGGGAGAGCTGATTGAAGCAGAGGAAAGACAGGATAGAGATGTCCAGACACACAGAGGAAAACAGATGCACGTACACACACACACACACACACACACACTAGGATGACACGCACACAAAAAGGCGCACACAAATACATACACACACACCATCCCCCTCTCACATACACTTCTGCTCACCCTGCCCAGTATGACGTTGATCTCCACAGCCAGCAGTAGTCCGTACAGCAGGGCCAGGAGTCCTGTGATGCAGTAGCGGAGTTGTCTCAGGCCGATGCCGTGCTCCGTGTACTTGGCAAACTTGATGGTTTTCATCAGAAAGGCCAAGACCCAGTAGAACAGTAGAGCTTTAGAGAGGATCAGAGAGAAACATTAGACATGCCGGGAATCATATGGGAATCGTCAGTCATTTCAAGTCAACTCCTGATAAATGCAATTGGGTTAGGAATATCCTATACATCCCCAACAGATTATGCAGATATCCAGAGTAAGTAAAAGGAATGTTGTTTCTGGTGAACTGTATATCTACACAGTGAATGTAAAGTGAATATCATACATATTATTTATAATCCATATCCTACATTTTATAATTCATTTTCCCAATCTTTCCTCTGCTTTTCTCCGGGGTTTTTTAAAACATTTTGTGTCATAGCATTTCTGACAGCTCTGCTCATGTTAAAAACTCAGTGACAATAGGGAACGAACAGCTGTACTATAACTGTCAGAATTACTGTGCCTACCTGTTGAAAGACAACCCACTCACAGATGCCATCCATTCTAAATCCCCAAGACACACACTAAACGAGCTGACAGATGTCATTTGTACACCTTTATAAATGTTTTATAGGAGAGAAACCATGGTAACAGAGTCTCGTAGGAGTATGCTAAACATTCTGGGATTTGGGGTATTTTTCCTCCGCCAAGAAGTCTGCAGATGTTCATAACAGAAACGTGGCCTGCATCTCAAACACTAAGTCATGTTCTCTCCCCTCCCCCCGCTCCTTCCTTCCCTCCCTCCTTCCTCTCTTCCCTCCCCTCCTCCTCTCTCTCCTTGACTTCCCAGTTGTTAAGTGATGTATGTCCATGGTTGCCAAGCTCAATATCCATAGAAACAGAGTGAAAAGAATGGACTCAGTATTGAAAACCGTGGTTGATTCAGATCCTGTTTTAGTCAGGTTGCAATTGTAAGTCACATTCAACGAATCAATAATATAATTCCTTTCTTGAGAGGGGTGGGGGGTGTAACAATATTAGGAAGGTGTTCTTAATGTTTTGTACACACAGTGTAAGTCCTTTCAGTGTGTTTGTTGTGGCTGTTTTGAAAGTAAATTACTTACAGTATTTGTCAGGCCTGTAGTTCTCTACATCTCTAATGGAAGGCAGAGTCAATAAGAAGCCTATGGAAAAGGTGATTGATGGAGGAATGGAGGGACGGTTGTGATGAAAGTTTCAGATGGAAAGTGAAGAGGACGCAGAATGAAGAGTACTACTGATTAGAGTTTTGGGTTTGATTCCCACAAGGGCCTTATATACTGAACATTTAAAAAGATCCCATAGGAAGAGAGAAGAATGGATAACAATGTTTGCCAAATGGTCATATTAGCATATCCCTTCTATGCTCTCCATGTCTATGGCTATCCATCCCTCCAGCCCCAGCTGTAATCAGAGATTAATGTCTGTCTGATAAATACCGCCTGTGGGGGTCACTCCCTCGACTGACACGGATTGGCCACGCATCGAGGTTGAGGCTCAAGCACTGATGTGAACGAGGGAACTAGAGGAAGAGTGAACGAACTAGTGCAGAACGCTGATGAGTTAATGACGCAGGAGGAGGAGGAGAATTATGTGATCAGACGAAAAGGAGGAACATAGCAATGGAGGGCATGATTAAAGGAGTCAACATTACAGTGCAACAGTGAGAGAACCGTGAGACAATAAAGACCACCCAGTGTGCACAAGATATTGAAAATATGTCATTTCAACCAAAAATACGTATTTTCAACTTCTTTTCAATGTCTTGTGCTCATAGGGCAACGGACTGAGCAGGGAGATGGCATTTATTGACATGATTTTATAGATCCTCTCTACTTCAGAGAATATTGGCTATCAAATAATGATAACCAGAAGAGATCAGTGTTGATGCTTGAGGATGTCTTGATGATGCAACAAAAATATTTATTTGGCAATAACCACACAGCAAATTGGCAAGTGTTACCTAATGTTGATTTTTCAGTGTAACATTGGTGTAAAAGAACCCAAGTGTTGGTGTTAATAACCAGTGTTAAACCAAAACCACGGCCATCATTATCATATTTCCCAGCGTACTCTATTGCAGGTTGATTTTTATAAGTGTTTGTTTCAATATCTATGTTTTTGCATGTACATTGATTGATTAATTAATCTTATCCTACTCAAATATAAATAACATACATTTTTCTAAACTAATCCAATCTTCTACTTGGACTTATTGCACCGGTTTCTGAAATGGTTGCTCCTTGTCTCATATCTTCGTCTCCCCATCCCGGCAGTCATTCTGAATTCAGGTTGCAGGTGAATACAAATTTGAAATGTTGAATATCCCCACTCTGGCTGGATTCCAAAAGGAATTACACATCACTTTGCAAGCCATCATAATGTGACTTGCAGGCCTGAAAACCATGAGATTCAGCCCACTGCACTAGGGTAAAACTAGGCCCTCAAAATAAGGCCTTATTAATAGCTTGTATTGTGTTGAATAATTTAATTTTAATGATAAAGTATTCGCTTAGAATCTCACTTAGTGAAGGCCACAGGACAAACAAGTATTACTGCAAGAACCATGTCTCTGTCACCCCGCTACCATCTAGAAGGCGGAGACGGTACAGGTGCATCAAAGCTGGGACCGAGAGACTGATAAACAGCATCTATCTCCAGGCCATCAGACTGTTAAACAGACACCACTAGCCGGCTTCCGCCCAGTACCCTACCCTGAACCTCAGACACTGTTACTAGCCGGCTACCACCCGGTACTTTTCCCTGCACCTTAGAGACTGCTGCCCTATGTACATAGAGTCAATGAACACTGGTCACTTTAATAATGTTTACATACTGTTTAACCAACTTTATATGTATATACTGCATTCTAGTCTTGGCTTATCCTATATAACTTCTGCTATACATACCTTTTCTATTCACAAATTGTCCATACTGTCTATACACACCATTCACATACATATTATTCAGATGTCCGGAAGCTCGTTTCCTGCAATTCTATCAATTTTGCTATGGGGTTTTGTACTGTGTATTTATACTGTATTCTCAACATAGATCATTCTAATATTTCTACTACTGTAAATTGCATTTGAGTTACACTGTTTATACACACCGTATAATTATTTCTATACTAGATTCTTGACATAGTCACTCTAACATACACTATATATACAAAAGTATGTGGACACCCCTTCAAATTAGTGGAGTCGGCTATTTCAGCCACACCCGTTGCTGGCAGATGTATAAAATCAAGCACACAGCCATGCAATCTCCATAAGCAACATAGGCAGTAGAATGGCCTTACTGAAGAGCTCATTGACTTTCCACGTGGCACCGTCATAGGATGCCACCTTTCCAACAAGTTAGTTCGTCAAATGTCTGCCCTGCTAGAGCTGCCCCGGTCAACTGTATGTGCTGTTATTGTGATGTGGAAACTTCTAGGAGCAACAACGGCTTAGCCGCGAAGTGGTAGGCCACACAAACTCACAGAACGGGACTGCCGAGTGCTGAAGCGCGTAGCACGTAACAATCGTCTGTCCTCGGTTGCAACACTCACTACCGAGTTCCAAATGCCTCTGGAAGCAACGTCAGCACAATAACTGTTAGTCGGGAGCTTCATGAAATGGGTTTCCATGGCCGAGCAGCCGCACACAAGCCTAAGATCACCATGCGCAATGCCAATCGTCGGCTGGAGTGGTGTAAAGCTTGCCGCCATTGGATTCTGGAGCAGTGGAAACGAATTCTCTGGAGTGATTAATCACGCTTCAACATCTGGCAGTCCAACGGACAAATCTGGGTTTGGCGGATGCCAGGAGAACGCTACCTGCCCCAATGCATAGTGCCAACTGTAAAGTTTGGTGGAGGTGGAATAATGGTCTGGGGCTGTTTTTCATGGTTTGGGCTAGGCCCCTTAGTTCCAGTGAAGGGAAATCTTAACGCTACAGCATACAATGACATTCTAGACGATTCTGTGCTTCCAACTTTGTGGCAACAGTTTGGGGAAGGCTCTTTCCTGTTTCAGCATGACAATGCCCCCATGCACAAAGCAAGGTCCATACAGAAATGGTTTGTCGAGATCGGTGTGGAAGAACTTGACTGGCCTGCACAGAGCCCTGACCTCAACCCCATCGAACACCTTTGGGATGAATTGGAACTCCGACTGCGAGCCAGGCCTAATCGCCTAACATCAGTGCCCGACCTCACTAATGCTCTTGTGGCTGAATGGAAGCAAGTCCCTGCAGCAATGTTCCAACATCTAGTGGAAAGCCTTCCCAGAAGAGTGGAGGCTGTTATAGCAGCAAATGGGGGACCAACTCCATATTAATGACCATGATTTTGGAATGAGATGTTCGACGAGCAGGTGTCTACATACTTTTGGTAATGTAGTGTATGTTGATGTTGGGGTGGTGCTGGAGATGATGAATAAGAAGTTGAAAGAATTGTGAAATTTCCCTTTAAGGGTTGACAAAAAAAAAAAACATAAATTCAGTTGTTTCAACTAATTATTATTAAGTAACTGGTTCCACAGCCTTTTTCTCCCCCATTTACTTTTCTGTCCAAGTGTTACCTAATGTCACCAACGTTGAGAGACGGGTCAGACCAAGGTGCAGCGTGAAAAGCGTACATGTTTATTTAACTCAATAAACATAAACAAAACAAGAAACAACGTAACGTGAAGTCCTCAGGCTAAACACATACAAGCCTAACACGGAACAAGTTCCCACAACTAAGGTAGGCAAACAGGCTACTTAAGTATGATCCCCAATCAGAGACAACGAGCGACAGCTGTCTCTGATTGGGAATCACACTCGGCCAAACATAGAAACAACACATCTAGATCCTGTTCACCCATGACTGCATGGCCAGGCACGACTCCAACACCATCATTAAGTTTGCCGACGACACAACAGTGGTAGGCCTGATCACCGACAACGATGAGACAGCCTATAGGGAGGAGGTCAGAGATCTGGCCGTGTGGTGCCAGGACAACAACCTCTCCCTCAACGTGACCAAGACAAAGGAGATGATTGTGGACTACAGGAAAAAAAAGAGGACTGAGCACGCCCCCATTCTCATCGACGGGGCTGTAGTGGAA